GATTTAGGAGCTTCCCTGTGGAAAGGGAGTGTAGTTTCAGAATCTCAGGGTTGGGCCATCCTTTGAGCATGTGTGAGAATGTGGGGTTAACACTAGGCCTGGAATTTAGCTGCCTTGTGGGGAGAAGTGAGGCTGGATGAGAGGGAAAGACAGAAGCCATGATGAGATGGTCATGGGAAGCCACATCCCCAGGCATCTTCCTCCCTCTTCCCTCTCTCCTTATCTCTGCATCTCAGTCTCTGTCTTTTTCTCTTCAAGGCTCCCAATCTCCCATTTATCCATTCGAAGTACAGTCAGGAAGCTGAAGGATTTCGGCTGAAATGCAAGGTGGAAGAGAGGTTTGCCCCCTACTTAGGACTCAGAGCTGCTTGTGGGGACCATGGCGTCACACTCTCCTCCTGGGCCTCATGTCTTCAGTTTCTTTCCTTTTTTTATTTTGTTGTTGTTTTTTTTTAGACAGAGCCTCACTCTGTCTCCCAGGCTGGAGTGCAGTGGTGTGATCTTGGCTCACTGCAACCTCCACCTCCCAGGTTCAAGCAATTCTCCTGCCTCAGCCTCCTGAACAGCTGGGATTACAGGCATGGGTCACACCATGCCTGGCTAATTTTTGTATTTTTAGTAGAGACAGGGTTTCACCATGTTGGCCAGGCTGGTCTTGAACTCCTGACCTCAGGTAGTCCACCTGACTCAGGCTCCCAAAGTGCTAGGATTACAGGCATGAGCCACTGCACCTAGCTTTGTCTTCAGTTTCTTACCTTCTAGTCCACCTTCCTTGTTCAGAACCTTTACTTGACATCCCCTGGGTGACAGCCAAGGTCACAAATGACACTCTTTGGTGCTTCACGGTGTCATTCCAACCCTATTTACAGCCATGCTGAATTTCTCACCATTCCTCAATTCTTTGTACATGCTGTTCCATCTGCCTAGAATGCCTTTCCCTGTTCTCTACTTAGACAAAGGGATATTGGCAGGACATGAAGGAGATGCTTTAGCTATAGTGATTTTATCCTCTCACCCTTTTCTTGAAGGAAGGGGTTAGACAGAATCCTGTTGATCCACTGACCTCTGATCTTTCCTTCCCCAGGCTGTGCCAAGACCTTGTACCACTCGGTCCATGAAAAGATCTTCACACTTCCAGGCGACTGTCTGATCTACCCTGCTCATGATTACCATGGTGAGGGCTTCCTGGAGGAGCTGGGATTACAGACCCATGCCTGTAATCCCAGCTGTTCGGGAGGTTGAGGCAGGAGAATTGCTTGAACTTGGGAGGTGGAGGTTGCAGTGAGCCAAGATCAGACCACTGCACTCCAGCCTGGGATACAGAGTGAGGCTCTGTCTCAAAAAAAAAATAATAATAATAACTTTGAAAGGGGAGTGTAAATCTCTGTAATCCTTGTAGGGCATGAAGACTACCAGTCTCAGAAATTTCTCTGGGCAAAAAAAATTAAGTGTTTGAGGCTGGGCAAGGGGGCTCACAGCTGTAATCCTAGCACTTTGGGAGGCTGAGGCAGGAGGCTCGTTTGAGCCCAGGAGTGAGTTCAAGAGCAGCCTGAGTAACATGGCAAAACTCTGCCTCTACAAAATACAAAAAATTAGCCAGGCAGGGTGGCATGCTGCCAGCTACTTGAGAGGCTGTGGTAGGAGGATTGCTTGAGCCCAGGAGGTTGAAGCTGCAGTGAGCTATGATCACACCACTATATTCCAGCCTGGGTGATATAGCAAGACCCTGTCTCAAAAAAAAAAAAAAAAAAAAAAAAAAAAAAAAGATAAAAGTGCTTGAGCCTGCTGTGTGTGGATGTGGAAACTATGTGACTGCCAGATGCCTGGAATTCTGCAGGGCATGGGTTTTCCTGGGCCTTACTTGCGGAGCTTAGGGAACTGGGGAAAACTACATTTCCCATAGTTCCCATGGAGGAGGGAAAGCTATTTTAGGAATATTCTGGGAAGAACCCCTGCCAGAGAGGCCCCTGCCAGAGAGGCACCCAAAGCCTCCTAGGGAATGTAGTTCTGAGAGGCCTGAGGCACTGGACTCCTTGACTTTCCTTCCCCTCCCTTGGCCACTAGGGTTCACAGTGTCCACCGTGGAGGAGGAGAGGACTCTGAACCCTCGGCTCACCCGCAGCTGTGAGGAGTTTGTCAAAATCATGGACAACCTGAACTTGCCTAAACCTCAGCAGATAGGTGAGCAGCTGGGGACCTGGGCTCCTGGGTATGAGAGAGGAGGGACTGGGGGCTTGGACTCCTGGGTCTGAGGGAGGAGAGGTTGGGGTCTGGACTCCTGGTAGGTGTGAGCAGCTGGGGACCTGGGCCCAGTGAGAGAGGAGGGACTGGGGGCTTGGACTTCTGGGTCTGAGGGAGGAGAGGTTGGGTCTGACTCCTGGACTCCTGGGTCTGAGGGAGGAGAGGTTGGGGTCTGGACTCCTGGGTCTGAGGGAGGAGGGGCTGGGGGCTTGGACTCCCGGGTCTGAGGGAGGAGAGGCTGAGGGTTAGGACTCCTGGGTCTGAGGGAGGAGAGGCTGGGGGTCTGAGGGAGGAGAGGCTGGGGGTCTGGACTCCTGGGTCTGAGGGAGGAGTGGCTGAGGGTCAGGACTCCTGGGTCTGAGGGAGGAGGGCTGGGGGTCTGGACTCCTGGGTCTGAGGGAGGAGGGGTGGGGGCCTGGACTCCTGGGTCTGAGGGAGGAGAGGTGGGGGCCTGGACTTCTGGGTCTGAGGGAAGGAGTGGGCTCAGGACCAAAACTCTAGTTCCCTGAAGAGGAAAGGTTCCTAGGATTTCTGGGTCTCCAGTGGGGCCTGGAGCTCTGCCTAGGCCCCTTAGTTTTAACCTTGATTTCTTCTCTTCAGACTTTGCTGTTCCAGCCAACATGCGCTGTGGGGTGCAGACACCGCCCCCTGCCTGATCTCACTTCTGTCAGATGCTCCCATCCAGTATTAATGCACTAGGGGGGAGGAGAGGGCGGCGTCCACACTGCACCTCTCCTTTCCCACCCCATGCCCGAACCGCAGCCCCTGGAGCTTCCTAAATAAAACTTTTTTTAACATGAGTCTGACTTCTACCTATTTTCTAGGGGAACCAATTGGGTTTCTGGGCCGCAAGGGGTGGAGTTCTGGTTCTGTGGAGAGGCCAGGAGGTCCGGGGAGCCTGCAAGTTTGTTTTTTTTTTTTTTTTGAGATGGAGTCTCCCTCTGTTGTCCAGGCTGGAGTGCAGTAGCATGATCTTGGCTCACTGCAACCTCTGCCTCCCAGGTTCAAGCGATTTTCCTGCCTCAGCCTCCTGAGTAGCTGGGGCTACAGGCACGTGCCACCACCCTCGGCTAATTTTTTTTGTATTTTTAGTAGAGACAGGGTTTCACTGTGTTAGCCAGGATGATCTTGATCTCCTGACCTCGTGATCCACCTGCCTCGGCCTCTCAAAGTGCTGGGATTACAGGCGTGAGCCACCGCGCCCGGCCTGGGAGCCCACAAGATTTCTAACTCACAAGATCAAAAACAAACAGATATCTGGGGCAGATCTTCTCATCACCTTGGATTAGAACACCGGCTTGCTTTTGAGCCACTTCCCACTTAGCCCTGGGGTAAGGTACTTCACTTCTCTAGGCCTCAGTTTTCTTATCTGTAAAATGGAAGGAATAATCATAGGGTGTTTTGATGCTCTGATGAGTCAATGTGTGTGAGTGCCTGGCACGTGGCCTATCAGTGTTCACCATTAAAGTTATTATCATTTAGAATGATCTTTCGGGTACTTCCTGGCTTGAAGTGACAGTATACACAATGGTTAAGAACATGGACTTTTGAGAGAATGAAGCCTGCATTTTACCGCTTATAACACATGTAGATCTTGCCTACATTTTTTGTTGTTGTTGTTGTGAGATGGAGTCTTACTCTGTTGCCCAGGCTGGAGTGCAGTGGCACATTCAAGACTCACTACAGTCTCGACCTCCTGGGCTCAAGAGATCCTCCTGCCTCAGCCTCTGCAGTAGCTGAGATGACAGGTGTGTGCCACCACGCATGGCATAATTTTTGTATTTTTAGTAGAGATAGGGTTTCTCCATGTTGCCCAGGCTGGCCTTGAACTCCTGGTCTCAAGCAATCCACGTGCCTCGGCTTCCCAAAGTGCTGGGATTACAGGCCTGAGCCTCTGTGCCCAGCCAACCTTGGGTGCATTTGTCCTCCTCAGCTTGTATCCCCAAGTATAAAATGAAGGTAGTAGGCCAGGCTCAGTGGCTCACGCCTGTAATCTCAACACTTTGGGAGGCCGAGGCAGGCAGGTTGTTTGAGCCGAGGAGTTCAAGAACAGTTGGGCAACCTGGAGAAACCCAGTGTCTACTAAAAAAAAAGAAATGGAGGTAGTAATCACTTTCTCACTGGGCAGCTTTGAGGGTGAAATTAAATGACCGGGCATAAAGTGTTCAGCACAGCTCTTGACTTCTAATCATCCCTTTTCATATACCAGTTATTTTCCTGTTTTTGCCCAGAGAGGAAAGGGTCTGGCTGAGACCTTTAACCTCTGCCCTCCACCCCGTAGCAAAGTGTTGGGGGGTGGTGGTACACTTCCCTCAGTCTCTTGGCAGGTCTCTGACTCAGTTCAGGGCACCCCTTCCCCTTGTCCAGCTCCCCAAACCGGTCAGGGCCCTTTTGAAGGGCTCATTAGAGGGGAGACGTCCCCATCTCCACTCCTGCCTTCCTTTCTGAACTCCCAGGGTCTGGACGTTAGAGAGGTGCCCATACAGCGGTGGCCAAGACTCCTCCAGTGGGGCAGGAATGAGGGGGATCGAGGGAGACTGGGAGGTCGAGATGCTGAGTTCCACGAGGGTGGGGCCGGTGGGGCCGGGATGGCCGGATGCCGAAGCCGCGGGTGGGGCAAGCCCGTGGCTCCCTCCTCCCTCGGGAGCTGTTGGACCTGTTGTCCCCCCCTCCACTTCCGGGCTGCTGGGGAGGGGGACGGGGCGGCCTCTCTCCTCCCTCTTCCCCTGCCACCTGTCTCATAGGCAGAAGCGGCTGTGCCCAGCGCGCAGAGCGGAGCGCGCCGAAGCCTGAGCTGGTGAGGGGGCCGAGGCTGTGGGGAGGTGGCGGTTGGACTTCGGAATCTCAAGGACTCCGACTCCTGGCTTGTTCAGAGAAGGGCAGCCTGGGAGCCCCGACTCCTGGACCCCTGGGTGAGGCGGCATGGGCGCTGTTGCCCTGCACAGTGGGGTCGGGACTAAGACTACGGGGCTCTGGGAAGGACGGGGCGGGAGCCGAACTGCTGAGTCTCGGAGGGAGAAGATGGGTCGCTCTAAGCGAGTCCAAGGGATTGTGGGGGGCCGCTGGGAGGGTACAAGGCCTGACACTTGGAGATGAAGGAGGGGAGGCGGGGTCGAAGAGGCCAGTAGGGGGCGAGCTGCGACCCGGACTCAAATTCCGGTCCCGTCTCCGGGGGCGTTTCGCTTTGGAACCATCGAGCCCCGCCTCTGGAAACTTAAGGACACGCCTCCGTAACGCTCAGTTCAATCCTTTGAACTCTTAGGCCCCGCCTCCTGGGGGGTCTCCGCGCCCCGGAGCAGACGCGAGCGGCGCTCAGCCCTCCTAGGCCCCGCCCCCGGAGCGCCTGGTCCTGCCCACCTCGCAGGAGCCCGAGCGGCCATGGGGACGCGGAGCAGCCCCGCCGAAGGGACCCCGCCGCCGCCGGTCACGGAATGCGACGTGGAGGTCCAGCCCCAGGGCTATCCCGAGGAGTCCCGGAAACAGGAGGCTCCCAAGGTACTGGCGGAACCTTCGAGCCGCGGAGGAGCTGAGAAGCAGGCGGAGGAAGAAGAAGAAGTGGGAGAAGGCAGCAGCACTGAAAGCAGCCGCGACGCGGTGAGCGCTGGGGGGCTGGACCGACGGGGACTCAAGCAGGTGGCCGGACAGGTAGACAGGTAGAGGAAAACCAGAAAGACAGAGACCCGGAGACAGGGAGAGAGACCCAGTGATAACAGAGACTACTGAGAGACAGACACCAGGACACGGAGCCAGAGAGGCAGACACACAGACAGACAGAAACCAGATACATAACCAGATAGACAGAGCCACGGGGAGGCCCCAAGAACGGAGACAAGACCCAAACGGGCGACAAAGACAGAGAGACGGGTATAGAGGAACCAGATAGGTGGCTCACGCCTGTAATCCCAGCACTTGGGGAGGCCAAGGGGAGGATCGCTTAAGCCCAGGAGTTCGAGACAAGTCTGGGCAACATAGCAAATCCCCGTCTCTAGAAAAAAATACAGAAATTGTCCAAGCGCGGTGCCACGTGCCTGTAATCCCACTTGCTCGGGAGGCTGAGGCAGGAGGATCGCTTGAACCCAGGAGTTGTAGGCTGCGGTGAACTATGATTGCGCCACTGCACCCCAGCCTGGGACAGAGCAGAACCTATCTCTAAACATGAGAGAGAGAGAGAAAGAAAGAGAGAGACAAAGAAAGAGAGACAAAGAAAGAGAGAGAAAGAGAGAGAGAGACCAGATAGACAGAGACTCAGAGACAGAGGGATCCAGAGCCAGGAGAGAATACTGAACAGAGAGAACCAAATGAGTAAGAGATGCAGAGAGATCAAGAACCAGAGACCCAGAGACACGGAGACTGAGAGACAAAGACCCAAAAAAGACAGAGACACAGTGAGACTAGAGACAGAGAGTCAGAGAGAGGGGAATCCAGACAGAGGGAAACCCAGAAATAAACGGCAGAGATGCTCAGAGAAACAAATAGAGAAAAACCTCGAGAGAGGGACATACTCCGAGGGAGAAAGATCTAGTGATTCAGAGGCAGTGGACAGATACCGAATCTGAGAGACTGGGGTCGGGTGGAGAGAGAGACAGAGAGATAGATCCAGGCACTAGGAGAAAGTGACGCCAAGAGAATAGGACCTGGATAGGGAAAAAGAAACACCTTTCATAAGTCGGCTTTACATCCGCCCACCCTCCATACGGTACTGCAAGCCTCTGTGGTCCATGTAGTTGGGTAGTCACTGGACTTGCACCCTCCCCCACTCCGACCTTGAATACAGGAAGCTGAGGCCGGGCGCGGTGGCTCACGCCTGTAGTCGTAGCACTTTGGGAGGCCGAGGTGGGAGAATCGCTTGAACCTAGGAGTTCGAGACCAGCCTGGGCAACATAGCATGACCCCCCTCTCTACCAAAAAATAAAAATAAATAAATAAATAAATAAATAAATAAATAAATAAATAAAAGAGCTTGGGGTGGTAGTGCGCGCCTGTAGTCACAGCTACCTAGGAGGCTGAGGCAGAAGGATCCCTTGAGCCCGGGAGGTCGATGCTGCAGTGAGCCGTAATCGCGCCACTGCACTCCAGCCAGTGAGACCCTATCTCAGGACAAAAAAAAAAAAAAAGAAAGAAAGAAAGAAAGAAAAGAGCCTGCGACAGATTATGGGAGTGGTGGTTGTGTTAGGTAAGTGGACTGAGACCCGCAGAGGGGGATGTTGGTGGGGACCAGACCTACTTAGTGATTGCAGGGGGCGAGGCATCTCCACTTAACCACGCCCCCTCAACTTCAGCCCGAGGCTACGCCTCCGACAGCGACTGCGTCCACACCCGCCTCATCCACCTCTTCGGGGGAAGGGGTGCGAGGGGCGGCGCGGCGCCTGCGAGGACAGCAACTGGAGGCATTGACTCGCGTGGCCCTGATGGAGCAGCGAGTGAAGGAGCTACAGCGCCAGAGGAAGGAGCTGAGGATCGAGGTGAGGCTGCGGACCGCTTGGGAAGCCTGGCCCCAACTCAAGGGGAACCCGCAAAGCCGGACTCCCAGCCTTTTCCTCCGGTGGGATCAGATTCTAGGCCCTCCGCTCTTCCTCCCTACAAGTTCAAGTCCCTGGAGTCCATCCTTCCTTCGAATCCGGTAGTTAAGGCCCTGGGCTTCTTCCTTGGACCTAGGCGTCCGAGCCCCCAGCCCTGGCATTCTCTCCGCAGATGGAGGTGGAAGTGGCCTTGCTGCGGGGTGAGCTGGCTGGGGAGCGAGTGGCCGCTCGCCGGGAGGAGGAGCAGCTGCGGGAGCTGCTGGGGCAGCAGGCGGCCTCGGAGCAGCGCGGCCGCCAGCAGCGGGAACAGGTCTGTTTGGCTCACAGGGTCTTCAGCAGCAGCGTCCTTCCTGGTCCATGGATGTTGGTGTGCTCCTAGCCACCTGCGCCCCGGGGTTGTCCCCATTCCCCAAAGGAAGACATTTGGGCTTCCGAGAGAGTGAAGGGCAGATGCCCCTCCTGGTTTTCCTCCTCCCTCCCTGGGCGTGATTTTTGGGGCTCTTCCTTCGTCCCCTGTCTGTTTGCTATTTAAATGTGGGTGTGTGAAAAATTCCAAACCGGCCGGAAGCGGAGGCTCACGCCTGTAATCATAGCACTTTGGGAGGCCAAGGCGGGCTGATTGCCTGAGTTCAGGAGTTCAAGACCAGCCTGGGCAACATGGCGAAACCCCGTCTCTGCTTAAAAATATAAAAATTAGCAGGGCCTGGTGGCGGGCGCCTGTAGGCTCAGCTACTTGGGAGGCTGAGGCAGAAGAATCGCTTGAATCTGGGAGATGGAGATTGCAGTGAGCCAAAATTGAACCATTGCACTCCAGCAGCCTGGGCAACAAGAACGAGACTCCGTCCCAAAAAAAAAAAAAAAAAAAAAAAAGAAAGAAACAAAGAAAGAAAAGAAAACTTCCAAACCCACAATTGTCAGGCAGCTCCCATGTCCTGTGCCCACCAGCTTCAGCAATGATTAATATTCTTACATTCTCCTTTCATTATCTCCCATTTGTTTCCATCCCCAGTTTTAAAAGCCAATTCCAGACATCATGTGGCCTGCACATATGTTTACAGTGTATCAGTGACAGATAAGAAATCCTTTTTGGCTAGGCAAGGTGGCTCACACCTGTAATCCCAGTACTTGGGAGATGGCGGGGCACAGTGGGAGGATCGCTTGAGCCCAAGACTGTGAGACCAGCCTGGCAACATAATGAGACACTGTTTCTGTGAAAAATAAAAATACAATTAACCAGGCATGGTGGCATGTGCCTGTGGCCTCAGACTCAGAAGAGTGAGGTGGGAGGATCAACTGAGCCCAGAAGGTAGAGGCTGCAGTGAGCTGTGATCACAACACTGCACTCCAACCTGGATGACAGAGCAAGACCGTGTCTCAAAACAAAACAAAACAAAACAAAACAAAAACTAATAAGTTCTTAGTATTGTCTTATTTCTGGTTAATTTTTGTGTTTCCCAGAGTCTCAACATGCCAGTTAACAGGTAGCTTGTTTGAATGAAGTCCCCAAAGGTCAGTGTGATTGGTTGATATGTCTTCCCTGTTGTTTTATCTCTGGTGGTTCCCACCTGCTGTGTCTTCCCCATACTGTTTATTAGAAAAACCCAGTCTTCTGTCCCACAGGCAGAGCATGGCCAATTGCATGCCTGTGGTGCCCTTGAACATGCCTCTGTTTCTGCAAGCAAGTATTGGTTAGAGGGAGAGGTTTGATCATATTCAGAAGTGCTTTAGTGCTTCCTGAGCCAGTGTCAGGAACCTCATCTCTGGTTGTCCAGACCTCATGAGGTCACCCTGGTCTCTCTTTTTTTTTTTCGTGACATAGAGTTTCGCTCTTGTCATCCAGGATGGAGTACAATGGCGTGATCTTGGCTCATCGCAACCGCCGCCTCCCAGGTTCAAGTGATTCCCCTGCCTCAGCCTCCCCAGTAGCTGGGATTACAGGCACGCGCCACCATGTCTGGCTAATTTTGTATTTTTAGTAGAGATGGGGTTTCTCCATGTTGGTCAGGCTGGTCTCGAACTCTTGACCTCAGGTGATCTGCCTGCCTTGGCCTCCCAAAGTGCTGGGATTACAGGCATGAGCCACTGCAGTTCAAGGCCATCCTGACCAACATGATGAAACCCCATCTCTACTAAAGATACAAAAAATTAGCCGGGTGTGGTGGTAGGCACCTGTAATCCCAGCTATTTGGGAGGCTGAGGCAGGAGAATCGCTTGAACCTGGGAGGTGGAAGTTGTAGCTCCCAGGAGCCGAGATCACACCACTGCCCTCCAGCCTGGGCAACAAGAGCAAAACTCCATCTCAAAAAAAAAATTGTAACATCATCAGCAGTCATTACTTGGGTTGGTTACCATTATAGGTTGGAAAATGGTGACTTGTGATTTTGTCAGTTTTTTATTTGCAAGTGTTGTGTATGTTGGAATTTTCTGAGGCTGGGTCCTGGGCCCTCATTTATCCTCAAAGATCACATATTTCTCCCAGGCCTTCTCTCCAAAGAGAGAAATGTACCCTTCTTCCTAGGGTACTGGCTACTAGGTACTCCTTTCTCACCCAGATCCAGAAATCTCAGTTGCAGCCCCTCCTCCCTCTGTCCCTGGAGTCCAGGCCCCCAGCTCCTCCTCCCTCAAACCCAGGAGTCCAGACCCCCAGCTCCTCCTTCCTTAGATCCAGGAATCCAGGCCCCAGCCCCTCCTCCCTCTGACCCAGGAGTCTGGCTGCCTCTCATTCACCATATCCAAACCTGACCTCAGCAACTCCCTTCTCCACACTGTTTGTCTTGCTGTCCCTTTGGTCACCAGGCCAGAGTCCTGGACTTTGCCCTGCACACTTCCCTATCTCTCACCTCCAAGCCCATCAGCCACCATGTCCTATCCTTTCTGCTTCCTGATCTTCTCTGTCTAGTCCATCTATTTTTCAGCCCTACCACCCAGGCCCCAGCTTAGGTCTCACCCTCACTGCTTGGAGGACTCCCGAGGGAGCTGCTCTCCACCTCTCTAACCCACCTCCCTGAGGGATGATTCCTAGTTCCTACTCCATCCTTTCAGTCCTTCTGAGGTTCCCCATATCCCCAGGTTGACCAAACCCCCCGTGAGCTGGACGAGCTGGCCTTCCCACTATCCTCTCCCACCACATTCTTCCCACCGTGTTCTTCCCACCACCACATCCTCTTCCACCCTGGCTGGAGTTTGTCCCCCAGACTTCTTGTACTTTTCAACTTTCATGCATTTGTGCCAAGCTGTTTCCTTTGCCCAAAATGCTCTTCTAGCTCCTTTTATTTTCCCAGATCCAAATGCTCCCTGATTGTTTTGTTTTGTTTTATTTCATTTTTGAGACAGGGTCTCAGTCTGTCGCCCAGGCTGGAGTGCAGGCTGCAGCCTCAACCTTTGGCTGACATTGTTCCTCATTCTAGGTTCCCACAGTCTCTGGATTTTACTGCCCTGATCTTTCCAACTGGCTGTGTTCCCACCTGGAGGGCAGGGCCCAGATACAATCCACTTCTGCATCCACCGTATCACATAGCAAGAATATGTTTTGCATTCATTTCTTTTCTCTCTTTCTTTTTCCCTTCCTTCCTTCCCCCCCTTTCTCTCTTTCTTTTCTTTCTCTCTCCTTTCTTTCTCTTTCACTTTCTTTCTTTTTTTTTTTTTTTTTTAGATGGAGTCTTGCTCTGTTGCCCAGGCTGGAGTGCAGTGGCACGATCTTGGCTCACTGCAAGCTCCGCCTCCCGGGTTCACACCATTCTCCTGCCTCAGCCTCCGGAGTAGCTGGGACTACAGGCGCCCACCACCACTCCCGGCTAAGTTTTTGTATTTTTCGTAGAAACGGGGTTTCACCATGTTAGCCAGGATGGTCTCGATATCCTGACTTTATGATCCGCCCGCCTCAGCCTCCCAGAGTGCTGGGATTACAGGCGTGAACCACCGCGCCTGGCCTCTCTCTTTCCTTCCCTTTCCTTCCCTTTCCTTCCCTTTCCTCCCCCCCTCCCTTCCTTCCTTCCTTCCTTCCTTCCTTCCTTCCTTCCTTCCTTCCTTCCTTCCTTCCTTCCTTCCCTCCTTCCCTCCTTCCTTCCTTTTTCTTTCTCTTCCTTTCCTTTCCTTTTCTTTCTTTTTCTCTTCCTTCTCTTCTCTTCTTTCTCTTCTCTTCTGAGAGGGGTCTTCCTCTGTCACCCAGACTGGAACAGTGATGCAAACACAGCTCCCTGCAGCCTCAATCTCCCTGGCTCCAGGAATCCTCCCACCTCAGCCTCCTGAGTAGCTGGAACTACAGGCATGCACTAACACACTCCACTAATTTTTTTGTTTTTTGTAGAGATGGGCTCCCCCTATGTTGCCCAGGCTAATCTCAAACACCTGGGCTCAAGAGAGCTTCCTGCCTTGGCCTCCCAAAGTGCTAGGATTACAGGTGTGAGCCACCACACCTGGCCTCATTCATTTCTTTAAAATCTTGGCTCTGACTGTGAGGCAGGCCTGCACAGGAGTGAATCACATAGATGAAGTCCCTGCCTTTGTAAAGCTGACACCCCAGGCAGGCTCTGAGATGTGACTGGCCGCTGCTTCCCCCTCTACGCTCAAGCTGAGGCTGAGAACCTGGTTGTTCTTTCAGGAACAGAGGCGGCTGAGCCAGGAACGGGATCGCCTAGAGGGTCTTCGCCAGAGACTCCGGGAGGCCCAGGAACAGCTCGACTCCCAGCCAGAGGACCAGCGCGAGCGGCTTCTGCAGCGTGTGCAGGAGGTAATGGCCCTCTAGTTCTATCTTTTTTGTTTTTGAGACAGAGTCTTGCCCCATTGCCCAGGCTGGAGTGCAGTGGTGCGATCTCGGCTCACTACAACCTCCGCCTTCCAGGTTCAAGCGATTCTCCCACCTCAGCCTCTCATGTAGCTGGGACTACAGGTGCGCACCACCACACCCGGCTAATTTTTGGAATTTTAGTAGAGACGGGGTTTCACTGTGTTGGCCAGGCTGGTCTCGAACTCCTGACAGGTGATCCACCTGCCTCAGCCTTCCAGAGTGCTGGGATTACAGGTGTGAGCCACTGTGCCCAGCTGGCCCTCTGGTTCTTAGCCCCCTCCTCCCCCAGGACCCAGGAATCCGAGTCTTCAGTCACCTTCTTCCTCTGACCAGGAGTCCCAGCCCCAGCACCCTACTCCCCGGAGCGCTAGGGATCCAGACCTCCAGCCTTTTTGTGTTCCGACCTATAGATGAGGGAACAACTGGATGTGGCCCAACGCGCCTATGAGGACCTGGAGTTCCAGCAACTGGAGCGGGAGAGCCGGCAGGAGGAGGAGGATCGGGACAGCCCTGGGTCCCAGGCACCAGACCCCAAGGTCCAGGAACTTCAGGCCAGCACAGCGCAGCACAGAGTGAGTCATGCCCGACCAGCGCTGCCCCCTTTGCTGCTCCTCTCTGTCTCCCCTGCTCTGTGTCTGCCTTTTTCTCTGTCCTTGTTTCCTACCTGTCATGTTCTTCTGAATAGTAACAACAAGAGCTGGTACTGATGAAACATTTACTATGTGCCAGATATGGTCCTGAATGTTTCATGAGCATTTCCTCATTGAATCCTTACAACAAACCTATTGAGGCAAGTCCTATTACGTTGTTTTTTTTTTCCATGTTATAAATAAAGAAGCTGAAGGTCAAGATGCTTAAGTAATCTTTTCAAAGTTTCTTTAGTAAGGGATAGAGCCAGGAGTTTTTTATTTTTATTTTTTGAGATAGGGTCTCACTCTGTCACCCAGGCTGGAGTGCAGCGACACATTCACAGCTCACTGCAGCCTCGACCTCCTGTGCTTAAGCGATCCTCCCACCTCAGCCTCTCGAGTAGCTGGGACCACAGGTACGAGCCCCCACACCTGGATAAGTTTTGTATTTTTAGTAGAGATGGGGTTTCACCTGGTCTCAAACTCTTGGGCTTAAGCAATCCTCCCACCTTGGCCTCTCAAGGTGCTGGGATTACAGGCATGAGCCACCGTGCCTCGCCACAGCCAGGATTTGAACAAACTTGGTATTCACCACCACATTCTTTGCCTCTGTTCCAAAAAGATGCTCCATCAGATCCCTCCTGGGAGCTTCACATTCAAGGGTCTGACTTGTCAGACCCTTGGGGAAAAAATGGGCATGTTTGACCATATTTAACACAGAGTTTCCCAAAGTTTTGGATTAGAAAGCTCGACTGGGCTCAGTGGCTCACACCTGTAGTCTCAGCACTTTGGGAGGCCGAGGCAGGCAGATCACCTGAGGTTGGGAGTTCGAGACCAGCCTGACCAACATGGAGAAAGCCCATCTCTATTAAAAATACAAAATTAGCCGAGCGTGGTGGCGCATGCCTGTAATCCCAGCAACTTGGGAGGCTGAGGCAGGAGAATTGCTTGAATCTGGGAGGCAGAGGTGGCGGTGAGCCGAGATTGAGCCATCGCACTTCAGCCTGGACAACAAGAGCGAAACTGTGTCTCAAAAAAAAAAAAAAGCTCTTCTGTGGGTTTCCTTTCCCCATCTGTTTCTGGATCTTTTTCCTGTCTCACTGGCTTTTCCTTTGTCTCGGGTTGTCTCTATTTGTCTCTGTTCTATTTCTATCTTTTCTTTTCCCTGAATCTTTGTCTACATCTCTGTCTTTTGGGGCCTGTCTTGGTTGCTGTTCTCTCTGTCCATCCCTTTCTCTTCATCTTTCCCAGATCTCTTCTGGACCCTCAAAAGGGAAGAGGGTCCAGGGAGCTGAACGCTGGGTCCCCAGCCCTGGATGCTCTGATCCCGTGGTCTCTGGGAGGGGCTGGAGCAAACCCCAGCCCTCCAGGCAGACGTGGTTCTGTGGGAGGGTGGCCTGGAGAGCTGGCTGGGGCCTTGGCAGATGAGTAACTGGGACAGGGTGCTCTGCAGCGCCGGATCCGGGTCCTGGAAGAGCAGCTCAAGTCACTGGGGGAGCAGATGGCAGCCGAGAGCCGGGGGCTGAGCCGGAAGAAGGAGGAGGCCCTTCAGGCCCTGTCACAGGTGAGCTCCCTGGCACCTGCCCTACCATCCTCACTTCCCCCTGGGGCATCCCACCACCTCCCCGCACCCCGGATGTCTCCTGACATTAGGGAAAGCAGCTAGGACAGCCCATTCTGACTTTGACACGTAGCTGTCCATATCTTCTGGTAGGAACGGAGCCGGCTGCTCGAGCTCAATTGCCTTCAGGGAACACCTGGCGGGGACTTCTCTGAGCCCAACCCAGCTCTCACTAAGGTATGGGGATTTTGTATGCCTTTCGGTCCCTCCTCCCTCAGACTCGAAAGTCCAGGCGCCAGCTCCTCCTTCCTCAGACCCAGGAGTCCAGACCCTAGCCCCTCCTCCCTCAGATCAGGGGTCCTGCCCTGAGTCCCCTCCTCCCTCAGACCCAGGAGTCCAGGCCCCCAGCCCCTCCTCTCTCAGACCCAGGAATCCAGGCCCCCAGCCCCTCCTCAGGGAGCCAGCAGTCTCTGCCCACAGCCCTATGCTGGAAGACTGGACACTAAGGACCACATTCCATCTCTCCTTAGTTTTTCTTTCTGAGAAATGGGTGGCGCTAGAGGCATGGGCCAGAGCGTGTGGGAACTCATGGTTGCTCTGGGGTCCCTCCTGCTCCCACGAACTTTTACCCCCTCTCCTGCAGCTGCTGTTCACCCAGAAGACAGACCACCAGCTACTGGTGCTCCAGGACCCCGCGGCCCACTCCTCTGCCACCCCTACTTCTTCTTGCCTCTTCTCTGTCCACAGCTCCCTGCAGGTACCTCCCCCACTGCCTCTGTTTCCCATATGTCTCATTGGTCAGCGGGGAGGGAGGGGCTAGGAGCAGAGTCCCCAAACTGGGGTCTCCAGAACTTCCACTCTGATTTTCTATACGGGGGTGGGGGGATAGGAAAGGCTGGCCAAGGGATATTCCTATGACTCCAGCTTTATTATTATTATTTTTTTCTGCGTAACACCCACCCCTGCCCTGGTGAAATGGGAACATGTGCACCCAGGAGTAGATTTTAGAAGCAACCGAACAGTGTATTTTAATAAGAAGGTCTCCCCTTCTCAGAAGTAATGCAGCTACTTGTGTTTTGAGAATCCTTCTAGACTTCCTTAAAACTGTGGGGATCGGGGGGCAGCTTATTAACAGTTACAACAGACGGCCAGCACGGTGGCTCATGCCTGTAATCCCAGCACTTTGGGAGGGCAAGGTGGGCGGATAGCCTGAGGTCAGGAGTTCGAGACCAGCCTGGCCAAGATGGCGAAATCCCATCTCTACCAAAAATACAAAAATTAGCCCGGCATGGTAATGTGAGGCTGAGGCACAAGAATTGCTTGAACCTGAGAAGGCAGAGGTTGCAGTGAGCCGAGATTATGCCACTGTACTCCAGCCTGGGTGACAGAGTGAGGCTTTGTCTCAAAAAAAACAAAAAACAAAAAACAAAAAATCCCTAATCTAAAATGCTCGAAAATCTGAAACTCTTTGAGTGCGTACGTGACGCTCCAAGGAAATGCACATTGGAGCAGTTTGGGTTTCAGAGTTTTAGGTTACAGATACTTAACCTAAATATTCCAAAATCTCAAAGAAAATCCCAAATCTGAAACCTTTCTGGTCCCAAGTATTTCGGAGAAGGGATATTCAACCCGTCCTTTTGAAAAAGATGTGTATTAGCTACTAGTTGGCTTTTCTTTTTAAAAATGATATATTTTGAACATATTTATGGGATACATATGATGTTACATGCATAGAATGCATAATAAGTCAGGGTATTTGGGGTATCCATCTCAAGTATTTATCACTTCTGTATGTTGAAAACATTTCAAGTCCTCTCCTAGCTTTTTTTTTTTTTTTTTTTTTTTTTCTGACAGAGTCTCACTCTGTTGCCCAGGCTGGAGTGCAATGGTGGGATCACAGCTCACTGCAGCCTCCACCTACCAGGCTCAGGTGATCCTCCCTGAGTAGCTGGGACCACAGGCATGCACCATGCACAACCACACACCACCATGCACCACCACACACAACCACCCACCACCACGCACAACCACGCACCACCACACCTCATGCACCACACACACAATCACCTGGAGTAAAACTGGGTTCTGGGCCATGCACCATGCGATTACGTGGCCACCACCATAAACCGCACCACCCACCTCATATTTTTGACCGCTGTAAGCCACATGCCACTTCTTCTTTTCCACGCATGTGCCACGCACACCATTGCATGCCACCACCTCTGTGCACCACACACAGCCATGCATCGCCACGCACCGCCATGCACACCACCACACACACAACCACGCACTGCCACGCACCACCACGCACAACCACGCACCACCACACCTCATGCACCACACACAGCCATGCATTGCCACGCACTGCCATGCACCACCACACACAACCACGCACTGCCACGCACCACCACACACAACCATGCACCACCACACCTCATGCACCACACACAGCCATGCATTGCCATGCACCGCCATGCACCACCACACACAACCACACACAACCACGCACCACCACACCTCATGCACCACACACAGCCATGCATTGCCATGCACCGCCATGCACCACCACACACAACCACACACCGCCACGCACAACCACACACAACCACACACAACCACGCACCGCCACGCACCGCCACGCACAGCCACGCACTGCGACGCACAACCACGCACCGCCACGCACAACCACGCACCGCACAACCACGCACCGCCATGCACCACGACACACAACCACGCACAACCACACACAACCATGCACCGCCATGCACCACCACACACAACCACGCACCGCCATGCACCACCACACCTCATGCACCCCACACAGCCGTGCATTGCCACACACCGCCATGTACCACCACACACAACCACGCACTGCCACGCACTACCACGCACCACCACGCACTACCACGCACCGCCACACACAACCACGCATCGCCACGCACTACCACGCACCACCACGCACTACCACGCACCACCACACACAACCACGCACCGCCACGCACTACCACGCACCATCATGCACTACCACGCACCACCACGCACAACCATGCACCACCAAGCACAGCTGATTTTTGAAGTTATTTTGGTACAGATGAGGTCTCCCTATGTTGCCCAAGTTGGTCTTGAACCCTTGGGCTCAAGTGGTTCTCCTGCTTTAGCCTCCCAAATTGCTGGGGTTACAGGCATGAGCCACCACGCATGGGCCCAATTTGTAGCAATAGGGTCTCACTGGATTTTATTTTATTTATTTATTTATTTGTTTGAGACAGAGTTTCACTCTTGTTGCCCAGGCTGGAGTACAATGGTGCGATCTCAACTCACTGCAACCTCCGCCTCCTGGGTTCAAGTGATTCTCCAGCCTCAGCCTCCCGAGTAGCTGGGATTATAGGCATGTGCTACCACACCTGGCTAATTTTTGTATTTTTAATAGAGATGGGGTTTTGCCATGTTGGCCAGGCTGGTCTCGAACTCCTAACCTCAGGTGATCTACCTGCCTTGGCCTCCCAAAGTGTTGGGATTATAGGTGTGATCCACTATGCCTGGCCCACTGGTTTTTATTTTTGGACTTAACTCTACCTTGGAGATTGTTTTATATTGATACATTTAGAGTTGCCTCATTTTTAATGACTTTACAATAATAATAATAATATTAACAAAAGCAACAATAATAATAATGGTTTTATTGAGTCATTATAGTGTGCAAGGCATGGTTACAAATGCTTCATGCTGATTGGTTTCTGATTTGTCTTTGCAACAAATCTGTGAGCTAGGTTCTTGTTTCCATGGCAAAAACACCATGACAGAGAGGTTAAGTTGTTTAACCAGCTAGTATGTGGAAGAGCTGGGATTTGAACCCAGGAACTCTGTTTTCAGAACCTGGGTTCTTTTTCCCCCCCTTTTTTTTTTTTTTTTTTTTGAGATAAGGTCTGCCTCTGTCACCCAGGCCAGAGTGCAGTGACATGATCTGCCTCCCAGGCTCAAGCCATCCTCCCACCTCAGCCTCTGGAGTAGCTGGGACTACAGCCACCACACCCAGCTAATTGGTTGTATGTGTGTGTGTAGAGATGGGGTTTTGCCATGTTGCCCAAGCTGGTCTTGAATTCCTGAGCTCAAGCAATCTTCCTGCCTCAGCCTCCCAAAGTGCTGGGATTACAGGTGTGAGCTACCACGCTCAACCTCCTAGAGCCTAGGTTCTTAATCACTCTGGGCTTGACATTCCACTGTGGGGACATGGAACAGCCCTCCCTCTGCAGACTGTGATTTGAGGTTTTTTTCAACTTTAAGCAATGCTGTTAAGAATACGAGTGTGTGGGCTGGGCATGGTGGCTCATGCCTATAATCCCAGCACTTTGGGAGGCTGAGGCGGGTGGATCACCTGAGGTCAGGAGTTTGAGACCTGGGCGACAGAGTAAGACTGTCTCTCAAAAATAAATAAATAAATAAATAATAACAGTGTGCAACAGCTCATGCCTGTAATCCAGCACTTTCAGAGGCTGAGGTGGGTGGATCCCTTGAGGTCAGGAGTTCAAAACCAGCCTGGCCAACTTGGTGAAACCCCATCTCTACTAAAAATACAAAAAATTGGCTGGGCGCGGTGGCTCACGCCTGTAATCCCAGCACTTTGGGAGGCTGAGACAGGCGGATCACAAGGTCAGGAGTTCAAGACCAGCCTGGCCAACATGGTGAAAGCCTGTCTCTACTAAAAATACAAAAATTAGCGAGGTGTGGCGCACATCTGTAGTCCCAGCTACTCAGGAGGCTGAGGCAGGAGAATTGCTTGAACCCAGGAGGTGCAGGTTGCAGTAAGCCGAGATCATGCCACTGCACTCCAGCCTGGGTGACAGAGTTAGGCTTTGTTTAAAAAAAAAAAAAAAAAAAAGCTGGGTGTGCTGGTGCATGCCTATAATCCCAGTTACTCAGGAAGCTGAGGCAGGAGAATAGTTTGAACCCAGGAGATGGAGGTTTCAGTGAGCCAAGGTCGCACCACTGCATGCCAGCCTGGGCGACAGAGTGAGACTCTGTGGCGGGGTGCGGTGGCTCACGCCTGTAATCCCAGCACTTTGGGAGGCCGAGGCGGGCAGATCATGAGGTCAGGAGATGGAGACCATCCTGGCTAACACGGTGCAACCCCGTCTCTGCTAAAAAACAAACAAAAAATCAGCCGGGCATGGTGTCGGGTGCCTGTAGTCCCAGCTACTCGGGAGGCTGAGGCAGGAGAAGGGCATGAACATGGGAGGCGGAGCTTGCAGTAAGCCAAGATCGTGCCACTGCACTCCAGCCTGGGCGACACAGCAAGACTCCGTCTCAAAAAATATATATATTGTTATTTACTAATCAATATTAATAATACTAATTTTAACGCACTTAATATAAGTCAGGGTCTATTCTAAACCATTTTATCACTTTGAACCTTATGGAATTGCTATTACTTGGAGGCAAGAAACAGTTGTATACTGGCAATTCCCCTGGCTCAAGCTAATATATAAAATTTCATTTTTTCTTGGGAAGAACCCCCACAAGCAGGTTCCGTCATTATTCAGGTGAAGGGTTAGCAGATGTTCTTCTGTATGGGAAATTAACTTTCTAGCTGCTACCCCTGGAAACCTGATGAAGGTAGGTGTCAGCTGTGTTGCCAGGCAACGTGACTTAGAAGAGCAATTACCCTTATTAGTAAATTGCATATATGAAAATACTTGGTGGGACGCTATGTCCAGTCCTATGGAGTTGTCACCTGAGTTGTTGGCTCCTGTGCACAGGAGGCCTCTAAGCCCAGGTGTACCCTGTACCCACCAATGTGGATCTCATTGCTTAGCTCCTGGATCTCACCTGGGGGCCACCCATGCTTCTACATGCATTGTGTGAGGTCACTCGTTTAATTCTTGCAACAACCCAGGAAGGGCAGTGAGATGTTACCCACTTTACAGAGAGGACACCTCACTTGAGAAGAGAAATGACTTGTCTACGACATGCACCCAGGAAGTGGCAGAGCTGGGATTTGAACCTGAACCGGCCTGTTTCTATGGCCTGCTGATGGCTTATGCGGTTCCTACAACATAAGTGCCATGCAGACAAAGCTGGGGTCTGTCCTGCCCACTTGGTTCCTCAGTGCCAAGTATCTAAGATCTCCCAGCTAGGAAGTGCTGGGAATATGGCTGAAAGGAAGGAAAAAGTCAAGAAAAGTCAAGAAAAAGTCAGGGATTTGAGCCTCAGTTTCCTCTCCGTGAAGTGGAGCTAACATTTCTCAACTCCCAGAGTTTTTATTTTTAATTTTTTAATTTTTAAGACAGTCTCGCTTTGTCGCCCAGGCTGGAGTGAAGTGTATGGTGCGATCTTGGCTCACTGCAGCCTCTACCTCCTAGCCTCAAGCGATTCTCTGCCTCAGTCCCCCAGGTAGCTGGGATTACAGGCATGCGCCACCATGCCAGGCTAATTTTTGTATTCTTTGTAGACATAGGGTCTCACTATATTGCAAATTCCTGAGTTCAAGTGATCTGCCTTCCCCGGGCCTCCCGAAGTGCTAGGATTACAGGTGTGAGCCTTCATGCCTGGCCCCTTATTTTCTTACCCATGATTCCCCTTAACCCCTAAATATTCCTAAATTTACTACCTAATGTCAAGCCCATTCTCTTATACAACCACAGTTCAATGATCAATTTCAGGAAACTAACACTGAGACAATACTATTAGAATCCACAGATCTTATTTATAATTTGTCAGTTGTTCCACCAACGTTTTTCCCCCTCTTTCTTTCTTTCCCTTTCCTTCCTTCCTTCCTTCCTTCCTTCCTTCCTTCCTTCCTTCCTTCCTTCCTTCCTTCCTTACAGCTATTCCTGGCCCCTTCCCAATACAGCTACTTCCTTCTTCAGCTTCCTTCCTTTTCTTTCTTTCCCTCCTCTCCCTCCTTCCCTCCCTCTCACTCTCCCCTCCCCATGCATCTTCAGCTAGCTTTCTCTCTCTCTCTCTCTCTCTCCTCTCCTTTCTTTTGGCAGCTCCCGCTTGCTCTTTCTTTCTGTGTTTTTTGTGAAATTCTTTGCTCTTTGTCCAGGCTGGAGTGCAGTGGTGTGGTCTCAGAAACTTTCACTGCAGCTTCTTACGCCTCCACCTAATTCATGATTATACTTCCTCAGCCTCTGAAGTGGCTTGCACAATTGCAGGTGCCATGCACTGCCTTCTTCCTTCCTTCCTTCCTTCCTTCCTTCCTTCCTTCCTTCCTTCCTTTTCTTTCTTTCCTCCCTCCCTCCCTCCCTCCCTCCCTCCCTCCCTTCCTTCCTTCCTTCCTTTCTCTCTCTCTCTCTCTCTCTCTCTCTCTCTCTCTTTCTTTTGGCTCACTTGCTCTTTCTTTCTATTTTTTTTGGCAGAGTCTTGCTCTGTTGTCCAGGCTGGAGTGCAGTGGTGTGATCTCAGCTCACTGCAACTTCTGCCTCCCTGGTTTAAGCGATTCTCCTTCCTCAGCCTCCTGAGTAGCTGCAATTACAGGTGCCCGCCACCACGCCCAGCTAATTTTTGTATTTTTAGTAGAGACGGGGTTTCACCATGTTGACCAGGCTGATCTTGAACTCCCGACCTCAGATGATCCGCCTGCCTCGGCCTCCCAGAGTGCTGGAATTACAGGCATGAGCCACTGTTCCTGGTCCCACCAGTGTTTTTTTCTAGCAAAAAATTCACAAAAAGAAAACAAACTTTTTTTCTTGGCTCAGGAACACAGGTTGCATTTAGTTGTCATGTTTATTTGTTTTTAAAAAGTTAACATTATCCTCATTCAAAATTCACACGATGTGGGAGGATATTCAGAGAAGACTCTGCGGCTCTTGTTCCCCCTCCTACGCTGTTCACTTCCTGAGGGTCACCAGGGTTCCCAATTTCCCATGTGTTCCCCGGAGATATTCTGTGTTGACACAGCTAGTCATGTACATACTTTTTCCCTCTTTTTATGCATACCTAGTTTATTCTACACTGTTCTGTACTTGCTTTAAAAAAAAAAAACTTTAAGAGACAGATCTCACTGTCGCCCAGGCTAGCGTACAGTGGCATGATCATGGCTCACTGCAGCCTCAACCTCCTGGGCTCAAGTGATCCTCCCACCTCAGCCTCCTGAGTAGCTGGGACTACAGGTGCACGCTACCACACCTGGCCTTGCTTTTCTCTTGGATATTATGTTCTGGTTTTTTTTTTTCTTTCTTTCTTTTTTGGATCTTATGTTCTATCTGGATATAGGATGCATCTTCCTCTTGTTCTACACCGCAGAATTGTCCATGGAGTCGGCTGGGCATGGTGGCTCATGCCTGTAATCCCAGCACTTTGGGAGGCCGAGGCAGGTGGATCACTTGAAGTCAGGAATTAGAGACCAACCTGACCAATATGGTGAAACCCCATCTCTACTAAAAATACAAAAATTAGCCTGGCGTGGTGTCACATGCCTGTAATCCCAGGTACTTGGGAGGCTGAGGCAGGAGAATCGCTTGAACCCAGGAGGTGGAGGTTGCAATGAGCCGAGATTGCACTACTGCACTCCAGCCTGGGCAGCACAGTGAAACTCCAGCTCAAAAAAAAAAAAAACAAGGTCTATGGAGTGCATAAGCCATGGTTCATTTACCTTGTCCCCTTCTGTTGGGCACTTAGGTGGTCTCCATGCTTTTGTTAGCACACATGGCACTGCAGGGAATGACCTCAAACTCAGATCACTTTGCATGTGTATAAGTGTACCATCGGCTGAATTTCTAGAGTAGAATTGGGGCTCCATGGTTTATGCATTTGTCATTCTGGTTTTTTTTTTAAAAAGCGAAGTTGCTCTCCATAAAGCTTGTTCCAGTAGAACACCCCCAGTATTACGTGAGGACATCTGGGTTTCCTACATAGCCACCAGCACAGTGGGTTTTTTGTTTTTATGTTTTACTTATTTTTTTTGAGACAGGCTTGCTCTCTGTCGCCCAGACTGACTGGAGTGCAGTGGCACAGTCTCAGCTCACCGCAACCTTGACCTCCCGGGTTCAAGCGATCCTCCCACGTCAGCCTCCACAGTAGCTGGGACTGCAGGCACGTGCCACCACGCCCGGCTAATTTTTGTATTTTTTGTAGAGACAGAGTTTCACCATGTTGCCCAGGCTGGTCTCCAACTCCTGGGCTCAAGCAATTTGCCTGCCTGGGCCTCTCAAAGTGCTGGCATTATGGGTGTGAGCCACTGTGCCCGGAGGCAGTGGGATTTTTTTTTTTTTTGAGACGGAGTCTCACTCTGTCATCCAGCCTGGATTTCAATGGTGAGATCTTGGCTCACTGAAACCTCTGCCTCCCGGGTTCAAGCAATTCTCCTGCCTCAACCTCCTGAGTAGCTGGGATTATAGGCACGTGCCACCATGCCTGGTTAATTTTTGTATTTTTAGTAAAGACAGGGTTTCACCATGTTGGCCTGGCTGGTCTCGAATGCCTGACCTCAAGTTATCCACCCACCTCGGCCTCCCAAAGTGTTGGGATTACAGGCATGAGCCACCACACCTGACCCATAGTGGGCTTTTTAGAAAGAGTTTCATTGAGGCATAATTCATGTCCCCATACAATTCATTCATTTAAATTGTACAGTTCTGTGTCTTTTAGTATATTCAAAGTTATGCAAACATTACCACAATCAATTTTAGAACATTTTCATTACCCCCCAAAAGAAACCTTGTATTTCTTAGCCTCTCGGTTCCCCCATCTACCCCAGTCCGGGCAACCATGATTCTACTTTCCATTTCTATGTTCATTTGCCTGTTCAGGACATTTCTTTTTTTCTTTTCTTTTTTTTTTTTTTTTTTGAGACGGAATTTCGCTCTGTCACTCAGGCTGGAGCGCAGTGGCGCCATCTTAGCTCACTGCAAGCTCCACCTCCCGGGTTCAAGCGATTCTTCTGCCTCAGCCTCCCGAGTAGCTGGGACTACAGGCGCCCGCCACCATGCCGAGCTGATTTCTGTATTTTTAGTGGAGATGGGGTTTCGCCGTATTGGCCAGGCTGGTCTCGAGCTCCTGGCCTCAGGTGATCCGCCTGCCTTGGACTCCCAAAGTGCTGGGATTACAGGCGTGAGCCACTGCACTCGGCCTGACATTATAAATGGGATCATACCCCTGTGAGGTCCTTTCACTCAGCATATGTCGACAGTAGCGTTTTGATTTGTGCTGACTAGGTGGTGGTTTCACTGGGCAGTGCTCTGACTTAGGGTGGAGATCAAGCCTTTTTCTTATGCTCATGAGCCTTTTGTGTTTTCAGGGCTCCATTGGCCTCCAGAGGACCGGGAGCCTGCCCCGGAAAAGGGGAGAGAGGGCGAGCCAGAGAGGATCCCCCCGACCTCTGTCCTTCCATTGTACTGGTGAGGATCCCCCTGTTCCCCGCTTCCTTCCCGCATCACCACCCATCCTGCAGCAGACGATGGAGGAAACCCGCACCTCTGCCTGCAGGGGGAGAAGTGGAGGGGCTCAGGCCAGGGTATATCCAGCCCCGTAACCTGGTCCCCTCTATCCTAGAATCCCTGGAGGCCTCAGCTCTCCCGCCAGCAGTGGGGGACTCCGGCAGATACCCCCTCTACCAGCTGCTGAACTGTGGCCGTGGGAATAGGTGAGACGTCAGAGAGAAGGTGGGGAGATGGGAGAAGAGGCCCAGCCACTGTAACCCTCCCCGTCTGTGTTCCCTCCTCCTAGCTGTGGGGCCGTCCACCCGGACATTGCCCACATGGAGCGGCTCCTGCAGCAGGCCATGGCGGAGAGGGAGCGGCTGCTCAAGGCCCGGGTGAGAGCCCAGGCCATCCTCTTAGGAACAGAAGACTGCCCCAGCCCTTCTTCCCTCAGACCCGGGAGACCCCTAGTCCCTCCTCCCTCAGACCCAGGAGTCCAGGCCCCCAGCCCCACCTCCTTCAGACCCAGGATTCCAGGCCCCCAGCCCCTCCTCCTTCAGACCCAGGATTCCAGGCCCCCAGCCCTCTACCCTCAGAACAGGGAACCTAGGACATTCTCCAGCCACCCCATCATCTTATGGGCTGGCATCCTCATTGAGTGCTTCATCCTGAATCCACAGGAAGGAACAAGAAGGGGCACAGAAGGTTCCTCAGGCCCTGCTGTCCCTGCCATCACGGTCAGTCCCACCCTGCCCTCACGCCCACCTCTCCCTGCTCCGTTTCTCCCCCTGACCTATGCCCTTTCTTACCTCTGACCCTTTCCTTTCCTCCAATGGAAGAGAAAAGTGTCCGGGGCTTGACGAGGGAAAGGGAACTGCAGAGGACCAGTTCCTGTTCCCATGACCCATCAGTGGTCATCTCTATGTGTGGCAGGTCCTCGGGTAACTTGCTCTACTCTGCCTCGGTTTCCTCTTCTGTACATCGGTGACAATGTCAGCAGTCAGTACAGAAGGAGGACAAGTCCATGCTGGGACTTATTCGTGGCCTCTAGCAGTCCTCCTACCTCAGCCTCTCAGAGTACTGGGATTATAGTGTGAACCATCATACCCAGTCCATGCTGGAACTTTTCAAAATCATTTAAAATTTTGTCTTTGGCCAGGCGCGGTGGCTCGTGCCTGTAATCCTAGCACTTTGGGAGGCCAAGGCGGGTGGATCACCTGAGGTCAGGAGTTTGCAACCAGCCTGGCCAACATGGCGAAACCCCATCTCTACTAAAAATACAAAAATTAGCCAGGTGTGGTGGCACATGCCTGTAATCCCAGCTACTCAGGAGGCTGAGGCACGAGAATCACTTGAACCCGTAGGTGGAGGTTGCAGTGAGCTGAGATCACGCCATTGCACTCCAGCCTTGGCGACAAGAGTGAAACTCCATCTCAAAACAACAACAACAAAAAACAAAAAACCAAAAAACTGTTTTTATTTTTATTAAAAAAAAAACTTTTTATTTTAGAAAAATTCAAGCATATGCACAAGAGAAGGAGTAGATTAATAGACCCCCAGGTGCCCACTGTGCAGCTTCAATAATTTTCAATATTGAATCTTGTTGTACTTGCCAACTTTTTATTTTATTTAACTTTTTAATTTGTGTGAGTATGTACTAGGTATATATATATTTTTTTATTTTTATTTTTAATATTTTTCTTTTTTTCTCAATAAGTCTTCTGCACTCCTATATTTTTAATGTATTTTATTTTTGTAGAGATAGAGTCTTGCTATGTTGTCCAGACTGATCTCAAACTTCTGGCCTCAAACAATCCTCCCATCTCAGCCTCCCAAAGTGCTAGAGTTATAAGCATAAGCCTCTGGTGCCTAGCCAGCAATTTTATTTTACTAATCCCATACCTACATCCCACTCTGCACCGAAGTATTTTAAAGCAAAATATTGTATCCTTTCACTCAAACATCACGATTTATCTCCAATAGATAGGCTTGTTTTTGGGGGGACCGAGTTTTCTCTTGTTGCCCAGGCTAGAGTGCAGTGATGTGATCTCAGCTCTCTGGAACCTCCGCCTCCCTGGTTCAAGTGATTCTCCTACCTCAGCCTCCCAAGTAGCTGGGACTACAGGTGCCCACCACCACACCCATTTAATTTTTTTTTGTTTGTTTTTAGTAGAGATGGGGTTTTGCCATGTTGTCCAGGCTGGCTTTGAACTCCTGACCTCAGGTGATCTGCCTGCCTTGGCCTCAAAAAGTGCTGGGATTACAAGTGTGAGTCACTGTGCCTGGCCAATAGGTTTTTTTTTTCTTTAACATAACAAAAATTCCATTGCCATATCTTATGAGATTATTAATTTCATTATATTGTAATATATGGTCCATATTCACATTTCTCTCATTGTCTCCAAAATATATATTTTTTAAAATTTATTTTTTATTTTTCTTTTCCTTTTTTTTGTTTTTTCATGATGGAGTCTCACTTTGTTGCCCTAGCTGGAGTGCAGTGGCACCATCTGGGCTCACTGCAACCTCCGCCTCCAGGGTTCAAGCGATTCTCCTGCCTCAGCCTCTGGAGTAGCTGGGATTTCAGGCGCCCACCACCATGCCTGGCTAATTTTGTATTTATAGTAGAGACAGGGTTTCACCATGTTGGCCAGGCTGGTTTCGAACTCCTGATCTCAGGTGATCCACCTGCCTTGGCCTCCCAAAGTGCTGGCATTACAGGCATGAGCTACCGTGCCTGGCTTTGTTTTCTATTTTTAACAGTAGAGACACTATATTGGCCAGGTGGGTATTGAATTCCTGGCCTCAAGCCTCCCTTCTGGCCAAAGTGCTGAGATAGGCCTGAGCCACCATACCTGACCCAAAATCTCTTTTCATAGTTGATTTATTTGAATCTATATGCAAAGCACACACTATGCATTTGGTTTAATGGCTCTTAAATCTTTTAATTTCTAACAGTTCTGCATCCCCATTAAAAAAAAGGAAAAAAACCACTATTTATTTGTGGAAATAATCCAATCATTTATCCTGTTGACTTTTTCACATTCTTGATTTAGCTGACAGCTCCCTTACATAAATTATATTTTTACCTATACTAATAATATTCATAGAACGGATGCATTTTGTTATAAAGAATGATAAAGCTAGGCACCGTAGCTCACGCCTATAATCTCAGCACTTTGAGAGGCTGAGGTGGGAGCATCACTTGAGTCCCAGAGCTGGAGACCAGCCTGGGCAGCATAGTCAGACCCTCATCTCTACAGAAAGTTAAAAAATTAGCAGGTGTGGTGGTGCATGCCTGTGGTCCCAGCTACTCAGGAGGCTGAGGTGGGAGGATTGCTTGAGCCCAGAAGGCGGAGGCTGCAATGAGCTATGATTGCACCACTGCACTCCAGCTTCAGTGACAGAGTGAGACCCCACCTCAAAAAAAAAAAAAGAATGGTAGATAAAGTATTAAGAAAGTGGTCGCTTTCTTCCTGATCTCACTTCTACTGCTGAGAAGCCTTCAAATCTATGTTTATACTTTTCCACGGGCACCAATCACGCCATATTTTATGAATTTATTTGCCTCATAAATAAGCAATCCTTCCCAACCTTTTTGTTTTTACCACCATCTGTCCTTCCCTTATTCATTTCAGCCAATATTTATTGAGTGCCTACAGTATACTAGATCCTGGATTATAGCAGTGACCAAGATAACAGTCCCCACCTTTGGGGGAAGCTGATGTTTTAAGGGGGAAGAAAGATGTATACAAAACAACATCACTATGTAAAGTAAATAGCATGTCAGAGGCTGATAAGAGCCAGGGAGCAAAATAAGGCAGGAACGGCAGTGGGGTCTTCTGCGTTGTTAGGCATAAGTTTGTGCTCATTAAAAACGAAGCACAGGCCAGGTGCGGTGGCTCATGCCTGTAATCCTAGCAGTTTGGGAGGCCAAGGCAGGCAGATCATCTGAGGTCGGGAGTTCAAGACCAGCCTGACCAATGTGGAGAAACCCCGTCTCTACTAAAAATAGAAAAATTAGCCGGGCGTGGTGGCATGTGCCTGTAGTCCCAGCTACCTGAGAGGCTGAGGCGGGAAAATCGCTTGAACTGGGAAGCAGAGGTTGCAGTGAGCCAAGATCATACCACTGCACTCCAGCCTGGGCAACAGAGTGAGACTGTCTCAAAACAAACAAACAAACAAACAGAATTTTTCCTGCTCTGGTGTTCTGCCTGGCTTGTAGCGTCATCATGTATTAAACAGTCCCCTGCTGTGTGCTTTGTCCCCTGCCCTACACCCCTGCTGTCTTTTGTGCACATGAGCAAGTGTGTCTCTGGGCTTCACACCTAGAAGGGAAACCTCTGGGTTGGAGACCCTGAGGGCAGTCAGCTAATCCTTGAAACAGACTCAAGAGGAGGGTGCTGTGATAAACCCTGTGTTTTAGCGCAGGGGACTGAGGCTCCCAGAGGGACAGGAATTCTGTGGAGGTGACATAGCTGGGCAGTGGTGGAGTCCCAAGCCCATCCCTGGTCTTCTCCTAGATTGGGGCCCAGCTCCCTACGTCCTAGTTCGGTGACCTTGGAGAGTCACCTCTTCTTAAAGCCTCAGTTTCTTGATCTGTCTAGTGGGGACATTAATGGGTTGTTTTGGGGAAGAAACGAAATAATCACAGTGACCACTTGGCATAGTGCCTGACACAGAGCGGGAGCTTCCACACACGGTGGCGATCCTTGGTCTTCCTGTGTGGATTTGGGGAGATTGCAGGCCCAGCGGGCACTCTTCAAACCTGGCCTTTCCCTCCCTGCAGTCCTCCTCCCTAATCCTTCTCATTTCCCCACCTCACTCTCCTGTCTCCAACGGGTAAATCTCATCTCTGTTTCTCATCCCTTCTTGCTCTGGCCTTACCTCAGTTTTCTTTCTTTTTTTTTTTTTTTTTTTTGAGACATGATCTCCTTTTGTCACCCAGACTGGAGTGCAGTGGTCTGATCTCAGCTCATTGCAACCTCTACCTCCTGGGCTCAAGCTATCCTCCCACCTCAGCCTCCTAATTAGCTGGGATCCTAGGCATACACCACCACACCTGGCTAATTTTTGTATTAGTATTATTTTTTGAGATGGAGTTTCGCTCTTGTTGCCTAGGCTGGAGTGCAATGGTGCCATCTTGACTCACTGCAACCTCCACCTCCCAGGTTCAAGCGATTCTCCTGCCTCAGCCTCCCGAGTAGCTGGGATTATAGGCATGCGCCACCATGCCCGACTAATTTTGTATTTTTAGCAGAGACGGGGTTTCTCCATGTTGGTCAGGCTGGTCTCAAACTCCCGACCTCGGGTGATCCGCCCACCTTGGCTTCCCAAAGTGTTAGGATTACAGGCGTGAGCCACCAAGCCCAGCCTAAGTTTTGTATTTTTTGTAGAGACAGGGTTTCACCATTTTGCCCCAGGCTGGTCTCAAACTCCTGGGTTTAAAAGATCCTCCCCTCTTGGCCTCCCAAAGTGCTGGGATTACAGGTGTGAGCCTCCGCACCCATCCTGCTTCAGTTTTCTAACTCCTTGACACTCAAAGTGTGGCTGGTGGAACAGCAACATCAGGGCCTACCTGGGAGCTTGTCAGACATGCAGAATCTCTCCCCTTACTCCAGACCCCACCCTGAAATGACTGAATCAGAGTCTGCATTTTTTTTTTTTTTTTTTTGAGACGGAATCTTGCTCTGTCACCCAGGCTGGAGTGCAGTGGCATGATCTCGGCTCACTGCAAGCTCCACCTCCCAGGTTTAAGCGATTATCCTGCCTCAGCCTCCTGAGTAGCTGGGACTACAGGCACCCGCCACCACACCTGGCTAATTTTTTGTCTTTTTAGTAGAGACAGGGTTTCACTATATTAGCCAGGATGGTCTCGGTCTCCTGACCTCGTGATCCGCCTGCCTCGGCCTCCCAAAGTGCTGGCATTACAGGCATGAGCCACCGCACCAGGCCCAGAGTCTGCATTTTAACATTTTAACAAAAATCCCCAGCGGATCTGCTTGTACGAAGAAATCTGAGATGTACTGAACCTCCATTTGACCTCCGGAATCCTACCACTGTTTGCAGGGATTATTTGGGAAGAATAGGTTGGATCAGACCAGCTCATGGTCAGGCTCCCATAAATAATGGACACTTGTCTTGCCTTAAATCCTCCTCCTCAACCTGTATGTCCATCTGAGGTGACCACTCTACCTGGTGAGTTCTGGCTCTGTCAGCTCTGGCTGTGTGACTTGTCTCGAGCGACTTAACCTCTCTGAGTCTTGGTTTCCACATCTGTAAAATGGAGATAAATGTACTTACCCCTCCAAGAGAGTTTGAGGGGGCAGAGATTATACCTAGAAAGTACTTAGCAGAGGATTATATTCATCAATTTCAATCACAACAATAATAATACAATAATAATGTAAACAAGCACCCTCTGTTTTATTTTTGAGACAGGGTCTCACTCAGTCACCCAGGCTGGAGTGTAGTGATGCAATCATAGCTCAGTACAACTTCCATCTCCTGGGCTCAAGCGATCCTCCTGGGCTCAGCTTCTTTAGTAGCTGGAACTACAGGTGTGCGCCACCAGGCCCAGCTAATTTTCTGGATTTTTAGTAGAGATGGGGTCTCTCTATATTGCCCAGGCTGGTCTCCAACTCATAGCCTCAAGTGATCCTTCCACTTCAGCTTCCCAAAGTGCTGGGATTACAGGCATGAGCCACTGCACATAGCTCCTCTTTTCTCTCTCTCTCTCTCTCTCTCTCTCTCTCTCTAAATAGAGAAGGGGTCTTCTGTGTTGCCCAGGCTGGTTTCAAACTCCTGGGATCAAGGGATCCTCCCACCTCAGTCTCCTGAGTAGCTGGAATTACAGGTTCAAGCTACCACACCGGCTCCAATCTTCATTTCTTTTTTTCCAAAAAAAATGTTTTTTTCCAGAGACAGGATCTCACTGTGTTGCCCAGGCTGCCCTTGAATTCTTAGGCCTAAGGGATCCTCCTGCCTCAGCTTCCCAAAGTCCTGAGGTTACAGGCATGAGCCACCATGCCCAGCCCGATCTTCATTTTGCTAGGCCTCTGATGTTTCAGGGTGAGCTCTAGAGTCAGAAATACCTGGGTTCGTGTCCCAGTTCTGCTGCCTAGAATGACCTCGGGTGCATTACGTCATCTCTCTGTACCTCATTTTGCTCATTTGTAAAATGGGGCTTACAGTTGCCATGAAGTGCCAAGGAGCTGTTGTCCATAAAGCCCTGGGCAGAGCATCATAGTCAATCCATGTAGCCATCGCATTTGTCAAATGGTCCTTGTTCATATTACCCTTTAAAGACTGTAGCGGGCCTTACACGCAAGCTGCTATGACTTGCTCCCCTGGAGGGGCTCCAGGCTGTAGAATCCTCCACCCCTTACATCAGCTGCCTCTTCTCTTTGCTCCCCAGGCCCCGCCCACCCCACCCCACCCTCCAGGCCCGCGAATCTTGGATCTCCGGCAGCATCTGGAGGGATGGGGCCACAACCCAGAAAACTGCCCACACGTGCAGGTGTCTGGGGGCTGCTGCCGCGGACCCCTGGTGAAGATGGGCGGCCGCATCAAGACCTGGAGGAAGCGATGGTTCTGCTTTGACCGCCAAGCCCGCCGCTTGGCCTACTACGCGGGTAAGCCCAGCCTGGCCACCATGGGCCCTGGGATGCTGCAATTCCACTCCGGAGGCTTTTCCCCTACAGGCACCAGAAGTCCTGGCCCCCACTTGCTGTGTTCCCCAGGATCCGGAAGTTTGGTTCCTTAGCTCCTACCTTCCCTACAACCCAGGAGTCCAGGCTCTCAGCTCCCTCTTTCCTCCAGATCCTGGAGTCCAGATCCCCAGCCCCTCTTTAAGTCACCCAGAATTCAAACCCCCAGTCCTCCTCAGGGACATAGATAACAGATAGATAACAGCTTAATACAATTCAAGCTTCCCAGGGCCCATGTTCCTAAGACACCCATGAGTCTGAACCTGCACTGTCAGCTGCTCCCAGTCCCCCAACAGCCAGGAGTCTCGGGCCTTGTCCTTCTTCTCTAGGAGAATCAATTATTCCAAACCTCTCCTTGGACACTTTTTTTTTTTTTTTGACTGAGTCTTGCTCTGTCACCCAGGCTAAAGTGCAGTGGCGTGATCTCAGCTCACTGTAACCTCCGCCTTCTAGGTTTAAGCGATTATCCTGCCTCAGCCTCCCGAATGGCTGGGACTATAGGCTCTTGCCACCACACCCGGCTAATTTTTTGTATTCTTAGTAAAGATGGGGTTTCACTGTGTTAACCTGGATGGTCTTGATTTCCTGACCTTGTGATCCGCCTGCCTTGTCCTCCCAAAGTGCTGGGATTACAGGCGTGAACCACTGTTCCCAGCCTCCTTAGACACTTGTATTGCCTTAAATCCTTCTCCCCTAACCTGTATGAACATCTGACTCTACCTAGTGAGTCCTGGCCCTGTCAGCTCTGGCTGTGTGACTTGTGCTGGGTGACTTAACATCTCTGAGTCTTGGTTTCCACATCTGTGAAGTGAAGATAAATGTACTTACCCTCCAGGAGAGTTTGAGGGGGTTAGAGATTATACCTAGAAAGTACTTGAGTACTCCCTGAGTTCCTTCCCTTCTCACAGTCCAAGGCACTCAGAGCCTAGGATTCCAGCTCCACAGACCCCACTCCCCAATGGTGTCCAGTTTCTGCACCCAATCTCCCATCCAGCCTTAACATTCACTCACCTCTCAACCTTTAGAGACCTTCAGACTCTTGTCACCATGTTTTGTACCCCAAATCCAGTCTCAGGACTTAGGGCCAATGACCCTCACCTCGATACACACAGATACACCTTTCTCATTGGCTCTCTTTTTCTCTTACCTCCCCTACCAGACAAGGAAGAGACCAAGCTCAAAGGTGTCATCTACTTCCAGGCCATTGAGGAAGTCTATTACGACCACTTACGCTGTGCCTTCAAGGTGAAGCCCGTCAATGTCACCCTACCCTCCCAGTTGGAGTCCGAGTTGGAGTCAGGCCTTATCTCATCCCTGGCTCATCCTGGGGAAAACCACTCGCAGCTTCTCCTGTCAGGGTACTTACAGGAGTACCTGTTTGTTGCAGAGAAGACAAACAGGTCACCTGACTGCAGGGACTAAAAATTAAGAGCCCACACTCTGGCTTTCAGTTACTATTAATTTTCTTTTCTTTTCTTTTTTAAGACGGAGTCTCATTCTGTTGCCCAGGCTGGAGTGCAGTGGCGCTATCTCTGCTCACTGCAACCTCTGCCTCCCTGGTTCAAGCTATTCTCCTGCCTCAGTCTCCTGAGTAGCTGGGATTACAGGCGTGCCACCATGTCTGGCTAATTTTTGTATTTTTAGTAGAGACGAGGTTTCACTATGTTGGCCAGGCTGGTCTCAAACTCCTGACCTTATGATCTGCCCACCTTGGCCTCTCAAAGTGCTAGGATTACAAGCTTGAGCTATCACACGCGGCTCTTTTTTTATTTTTAAGACGGAGTCTGGCTCTGTCGCCCAGGCTGGAGTGCAGTGGCGTTGTATTGGCTCACTGCAACCTTTGCCTCCTGGGTTCAAGCAATTCTCCTGCTTTAGCCTCCGGAGTAGTTGGGATTACAGGCGTGCCACCACACCTGGCTAACTTTTGTATTTTTAGTTGAGATGGGGTTTCACTGTGTTAGCCAGGCTGGTCTCGAACTCCTGACCTCATGATCTGCCCACCTTGGCCTCCCAAAGTGCTGGGATTACAGGCGTGAGCCACCGCGCCTGGCCTGTCACTGTTAATTTTCTTGGAACAAAAGTTTTAGAGCCAAAATATGGCAAACTCTGATGTCAAACTGGGAATGAATGAAGAGGTCAGAGCAAGGGTGGGGCAGCCTGGGAGCATCTAAAGGAGATGATCTGCCAGGCGTGGTGGCTCATGCCTGTAATCCCAACATTTTGGGAGACCGAGATGGGGGGATTGCATGAGGCCAGGAGTTCGAGCATGGTCAACATAGCAATATTCCATCTCTCTTTTTTTTTTTTTAATTTTTAAGTGAAAAACAAATAAAGGAAATGGTTGTTACTTGGCTCCTGCCAACAGTTGCCAAGTGGGAGTGGTCCCCAGAGAACTCAGGAATTGGAACTTGTATAAAAGCACAGTGCCAAAAATTTAAATGTTGGCAACTGATACAATATTTAGAAAGCTCTGTGGAGAATAACCAAACTCTGGCTTTTTAGCAATTAGGTTGGAATCTCAGCTATGTGACATCAGGAAAGTGAATTCTTTTCTTTAGCCTTAGTTTTCTTTGTTTCTTTTCTTCTTCTTTTTTTTTTTTTTTTTTTGAGACAGGGTCTTGCTCTGTCACCCAGGCTGGAGTGCAGTGGCACAATCATAGCTCACTGTAGTCTCTATCTCTCAGGCTCAAGCAATCCTCCTGCCTCAGCCTCCTGAGTAGCTAGGACTATATGTGCGCGCCACTACACCCAGATAATTTGTTTTGTTTTGTTTTGTTTTGTTTTGTTTTTCTGGTATTTTTTGTAGAGATGGGGTCTCCCTATGTTGCCCAGGCTGGTTTTGAACTCCTGAGTTCAAGCAGTCTATCCGTTTCAACCTCCCAAAGTGCTGGGATTGCAGGCACGAGCCACCCAGCCCAGCCAGCCTTAGTTTTTTCATGTGTAGAATGGGCATGCATCAACTCATTCCATCAGGGTTATTGAGAGGACTAAAAACAGATTATGGACATAAGGGATTTACTCAATTTGGGATTGGCAAGTGGGTACTCAATAACAGATTCTAGACACTAACTTTCCCAAGGTACAAGGGGACCGAGATTTTGGGGAGGTGGAATTTGAATGCCTATATTTCTAATATAGAAGTTAGGCTGAGAGAAGGCGCCATAAGTCCTACTTTTAAATTTTTTGGCCTGGTGCGGTGGCTCACACCTGTAAGCCTAGCACTTTGGGAGGCCGACACGGGTGGATCACGAGGTCAAGAGATCGAGACCAACCTGACCAACACGGTGAAATGCCATCTGTACTAAAAATACAAAAATTAGCCGGGCATGGTGGCGCACGCCTGTAATCCCAGCTACTCTGGAGGCTGAGGCAGGAGAATCGCTTGCACCCGAGAGGTGGATGTTGCAGTGAGCCAAGATCATGCCACTGCACTCCAGCCTGGCGACAGAGGGAGACTCCGTCTCAAAAAACAAAAGAAAAAGAAATTTATCTTGCCCATAATTTATCAATAGCGCTCTACATATGTTAATTTTAAGCACTTTCCTGTGTTAATTCATTTAATCCTAATAACCCAGTGAGGTAGGTGGCATCATTTGGGAAGACAGGGAAACTGACATTCAGATACTTAAGTACCTTGTCCAGTGCCACACAGACTGTAAGTAGCAAGGCTGGGTTCGCACCCAGACTGTGGCCAGTGTCTTTTGTCCTCATTACCCTCACTTTCTGCTTATTCCAGAGCCCCAGCCCCCGCCTGACCTTCTGCGTGAAAACCTACGAACGCCTTTTCTACATGGTGGCTCCGAGTCCCGAAGCCATGCGCATTTGGATGGACGTCATTGTGACAGCAGCCGACGAAAACCACGCCCCCTGAGTGGCCCCGCCCACTTGGGGGGAAGTCCCTTCGAGGCTCCGCAGGCGCGAGGGCGTTCCTAGGCCCCGCCCACTGCCGGCAAACTTGGGCGCACGCCTTTGGAACTCTCCTGGGAATTCCGCAGGCCCCACAGCTCGGCTGGCCTGAGCTGCTGCGTTCTGGGTTGCAGGTGCCTTGCCCCCGACGGGATCGCCAACCCCTGAGGCCCTGCCCGGGGCAGGAGGAAGATTGCAGGGGCGGGAAGAAACTATTTATTGGTGCTCCTGTGATACCGAATTAAATACGGAGGAAAAACAGGAATTGCTGCTGTGGGTTCCAGCCTAGGCGTCCGGGGCCCCTTGGCCTTTAGGCAGAACATCTGAGTTATCGGTACCTCTGGGAGCCACGCGTCCCACAGCCGGCCCTCTTTAGGAATGGAGGCCTTCAACTCTAAGGTCATGGCTGGGAGAAGAGGGTGAGAGGCTTGCGTCCTTAGTGTTTGGCAGTTTTGCTTTTTTAGTTTGTAGGCCCTTCTGTTTCCACCCTTTCTGGCCTGACTAGCTGCTAGAAATTTCTAGGAACTCCTAGGCTTCCCCCTGTTAGGCCTTTGCCTACGTTGTTCCCTCTGCCCTTTTCTTACCTTTTTTTCTTTTTTTAATTTTATCTATTTTTATAGAGATGGGGTCTCAGGGTGTTGCCCAGGCTGGTCTCCAACTCCTGGACTCAAGCGATCCCCCCATCTTAGCCTGCCAAGGTGCTGAGATTACAGGTGTGAGCTACTATGCCTGGCCCCCCTCCTTCCCTTAATCAGTTGCACCTCATTCTTCCAGCCTTAGTTCAGTTGGTACCTCCTTCAGGAAGCCCTCACTGACTTTCCTGGCTGGGTCAGGCACCCCCTTTTGAGCTCTATCATCCCATCCCTGAGGACCCTGGGTCATCATGGGCGATGGATCTGTGTTCTTTATGCACTGGGAGCTGCATGAGGCAGAGCCAGCATTGTCCTGGCCACTGCTGTTGCCAGCCCCATAGAGCATGTCTCATTCCATGAAAGTGGAAAAAAGCCAAAAAACAAAACTCTTTTCCCTTTCACCTCTGGGCCTTTGTACATTCTATTCCTTTTGCTTAGGCACCTCTACCCATTCCATGAAAGCCCTACTCATCATTTAGCTTTTAGTTCCTGTGTTAAGTCTCTTTCTCCAGGAAGCCCTCCCTGATTGTCCTGGCAGGTCAGATGCTTCCTCTGGGCTTTTCTTTTTTTTGAGACAATCTCGGTCTGTCACCCAGGCTGCAGTGCAGTGGTGCAATCTTGGCTCACTGCAACCTCCACCTCTCAGGTTCAATTCTCCTGCCTCAGCCTCCCAAGTAGCTGGGATTACAAGCACCCGCCACCACACAACACCTGGCTTTTTTTTTTTTTTTTTTTTTTTGTATTTTTAATAGAGATGGGGTTTCACCATGTTGGCCAGGCTAGGCTCCAACTCCTGGGCTCAAGCGATCTGCCTGTCTCAGCCTCGCAAATTGTTGGGAGACATGAGCCACTGCTCCTGGCCCTGGGCTTTTCATTATAACCCTGACCGCTCCACCTGTGCCTCCCCATTCCCAACCCTGATCATTCTATCCTGTGCTTCTCTCATCATGGCCTTGACTACCCAGGATCATCACTGCTGTTGAGTCTGTCTCCTGTTCTGGACTGGGAGTGAGGGCTGTCTTGGTCACCACTGAGCCCTTGGTACAGCAGAGGGCCTGGTGCGTACTGGGTATGGAGGGAACATCTGGTGATTGAATAAACTGATGGGAAAGTGATGCTAAGGGCTGGGGACCGTCATGAACAAGGCAGGCAGAGCTCTCTGGCTGACTTCATCCTTCAGGTCTCATCTACGGCGCCCCTTCAAGTGGCTCTCCCTGAACCCTAGGCCGGGTCAGGTGCCTGTTCCGGGCCTCTACAGTCCTCCAGGGTCCCCCACCTGAGCACTCTAGGCTGTCACTCTGGAGACAGCTCTTTCCTGCCTCAAAAAGTTCCCTTGAGGACCCAGATATAGTGCTCTGAGTCCTGGGAGTGCAGACACCCAAATTCCTAGGTCCTCTAGGACTCCAAGTGTCCCTTGGCCTCTACCTTCAGGTGTGTGACATCTGGATTCTTGGATCAGTTCATCCGCCAGCCCCTCTGCAAACCAGGTCCCTTACTGAATCCTGCTTCATGGACATCTGACCAATGTAGATGACAGCTCCCCGTGTTCAGAAGAGCCCTGCTCTTGGGTTTAACGCTCTGTGGTCACTGTGTAGAAATTTGTAAATTTATCTTTGAATTTCTGTTTTGTAAGCTAAGACTAATGAGACAATGAAAGCATGATGAGGCAGCCGCACCTCTCTGGGACAAATTTCCACTCTTGTCCTCACCCCATTTTTTTTTTTCTTGAGATGGAGTCTTACTGTGTCACCCAGGCTGGAGGGCAGTGGCGCGATCTCGGCTCACTGCAACCTCTGCCTCCCAGGTTCAAGCGATTCTCCTGCTCAGCCTCCTGAGTAGCTAGGATTTTAGGCGCTGGCCACCACACTCGGCTAATTTTTGTATTTTTAGTAGAAACAGGGTTTCATCATGTTGTCCAGACTGGTCTTGAATGCCTGACCTCAAGTGATCCGCCCGCCTCGGCCTCCCAAAGTGCTGGGATTACAGGCGTGAGCCACTGCACCTGGCCTGTCCCCTTCTTAACTCTGCCCCGTGATCACTGGCACCCTCCGCCCCTGTTGCAGGCATGCCACAAGACCAGGGTTGGCTACTCGTGCTTCATGGTATCTTGGGGTGGAACATGGCAGTGGGCATCTGGTGGGACGGGGAACCCAGCCAGGTTGCCCACGTTGTGGGGCAGGGTCCCTAGCCACCATTGAAGGTCTGTGCTGGTCCCACGAGAATCTCTGTGCCCAAGGGAACATAACATTAAACACCATGAGGGGTCAAGAGAAAGGCTGAGGGCCGGGTGCAGTGGCTTATGCCTGTAATCCTAGCACTTTGGGAGGCTGAGACAGGAAGATCACTTGAGCCCAGAAGTTTGAGACCAGCCTGGGCAACATAGCAAGACCCTGTTTCTACAAAAAAAATTTAAAAATTAGCTGGACATGGTGGCACATGCCTGTAGTGGCAGCTACTTGGGAGGCTGAGGTGGGAGGATTGCTTGAGTCTGGGAGATAGAGGCTGCAGTGAACTGTGATTGTGCCACTGCACGCCAGCCTAGGTGGCAGAGTGAGACTGTCTCCAAAAAAAAAAAAGAGATTGAGGCAGAAGAAATGAAAAAAACAGTGTTTCTATTTCAGTACCTTTAATAACACTCTTTCCTGGTTTTCTTTTTTTTTTTTTTTGTGAGACGCAGTTTCGCTCGTTGCCCAGGCTGGAGTGTAATGGTGCGATCTCAGCTCACTGCAACCTCCGCCTCCCAGGTTCAAGCGATTCTCCTGTCTCAGCCTCCAGAGTAGCTGGGATTACAGGTGTGCGCCACCACACCTGGCTAACTTTTTGTGTTTTTAGTAGAGACGGGGTTTCACCATGTTGGTCAGGCTGGTCTTGAACTCCTGATCTCAGGTGATCCTCCTGCCTCGGCCTCCCAAAGTGCTGGGATTACAGGTGAGCCACCCTGCCCAGCCTCTTTCCTGCCTTTTGAACTAGGTCTCTACATTTCATTTCACACTGGGGCCGGAAAATGATACAGTCAGCCCTGTCCCCGACTCCACTCCTTCCCTAACTTGTCCCAGATGGTGTGTCCCAGAGGGAGTGGGCCTGAGTCAGGCTGGGAACCTCACTGGGCTCAGAGCCTGCTCTGCCACAGGGAGACGAGAAACCCAGAGTAAATATGGTCCTGGGCTTGTCTGAGGCCCGAGAGTGATCTGTATTGCGGGCAGCTGCCTCCACACTGACCCCTGAGCCAGATTCTAGATTCTTTGCCATAAAATCTGCAAAGGATCTCGGAGAGCCAGCCACCTACCATGCAGCGGGCTTAAGTGGTGCCCTGCATTCAAACCTCCTTCTGTTCCCTGGTCATGGGCCAGGCGGGGGTCAGCGCCCAGAATCCGGGCAGGCCTGAGCAAGAGGTACCTCTCCACCCTGGGTCCCACTCCCTCCTGAGATGCTAGTTCTTCCGGTCTGGCCAGTTGGGGTTCCTCCCTGAAACTCTCCCACACAGCTGGGACCTGCAGGGCCTCCTGCTTCAGAGCAGCACACAATAATAACGCTTGTCTCACCCTGCATGTCCCTCACTGGGTCCCCGCTCTATCCCTCAGGAGGTAGGGGTTTTCAGCCGAAGTTCAGAGAGGGAGATGGAGTTGCTTGAGGTTACACAGCAAGAGGGTGGCAGAGAGAGGATTAAATTGTGTCTGTCCACTTCCAGACTTGACATTTTGCCCACTGCCTTACTCTACCATGAAAGACAGTCCTTTTATTATAAAAAAGACACCTTGGGCCGGGTGCGGTGGTTCACGCCTGTAATCCCAGGACTTTGAGAGGCTGAGGCAGGTGGATCACCTGAGGTCGGGAGTTCGAGACCAGCCTGACCAACATGGCGAAACCCCACCTCTACTAAAAATAGAAAAAATTATCCGAGTGTGGTGGTGGATACCTGTAATCCCAGCTACTCGGGAGGCTGAGGTAGGAGAATTGCTTGAACCCGGGAGGCGGAGGTTGTGGTGAGCTGAGATCGCGCCATTTGCACTCCAGCCTGGGCAACAAGAGTGAAACTCCGTCTCAAAAAAAAAAAAAAAAAAAAGAAAAAAGAAAAGAAAGACACCTTGGAGGCTCAGAGAGGTACAAGCATTTATGCAGCATCACACAGCAAAGCAAGAATCGGGGCTAAGATTCCAAGGCTGGGAGGCGGGGGGGCGGGCAGGGGCCAGTGCTGAATGAATGACTTCACAAGGAGTCATTCACTTTCTCTCTCTGAGCTTCAGCATGATGCCAAGTGACCTCACCCAGGTGACTGAAGTGCTCGTCATTGTTGGGAGCGGGGGGTGCCTCACAGGGTCTGGGGAACAGATAATATCTTTATAAATACGACCGCTGCTTGTCTCGTCATCAGACAGTGAGGCAGCCCCATGCAGCCGGGTCGGACATCTGACTCTGCCGCTTCCCTTGCTGTGTGAACTTGAACAGATACCTTCCTCTCTCTGGGTCTCAGAGTCTTCCTCTGTGAAAGAGATCCTCCCCTCTACCCCCTCCTTAGGAATTCAAGGCGAGATTGCTTGTATAAGAGCCCACCACCCTCTGGGGCACACGGTTGGAACTCAAGAAGTGGGGGCTATTAATAATAGTAATAGTAACAATCTATTTAAATTATTGCAGGATCTGTCTCTGTCACCCAGGCTGGAGTGCAGTGATGTGATCACAACTTACTGCAGCCTTGACCTCCCAGGCTCAATGTGATCCTCCCACCTCAGCCTCCCGAGTAGTTGGATCTACAGGTGCACACCACCACACCTGGCTAATTTTTGTATTTTTTGTAGAGATGGGGCTTCACCAAGTTGCCCAGGCTGGTCTCAAACTCCTGGACTCAAGTGATCTGCCCGTCTCAGCCCCCACAAAGTGCTGGGATTACAGGCGCCAGCCACTGTGCTTGGCCCTTAACCCATTATTAGTAATAAAAACTAATGCTTTCATAACTCCTAGAATTGGACCCTAACCATTTCACATATCTTTAACATTGATGCCCTAGCAGCCCTATGAGGTGGGTACTACTAAGACCCTCATTTTATGGATGAGGATGAGGACACTGAGGCACACAGGGGCCAAGTAATTATCAAAGTTTCACAGCTGATAGCCAGTGGACCCATGTACCTAATTGTAGGTATTGTTAGTTAAGCCAGACTGCCTGAGTTCAAATACCATCTCCCCCACTTCCTAGCTTTGTGACCCTGAGCAAGTTGTTAAGCCCCCATGCCTGCCTCGATTTCCCCATTTGTAAATTGACTATCATAGAAATCTCTCATGGGATTGTGTGTAAAGGGTGTGGAAAGTTGCCTGGCATGGAGGAAGCACTGCATACATGTGCTTTTGTCATAGTCTTTGTTTAGACAGGAGGCCTTTGAACATCAAAGAATTGGAGTCACTTGATCAAGTCACACAGCAGATTAGGGGCAGAGTTGGTATTCAAATGCATGTGTCTGTGGCTGTAAAACTAAGGGTCATTACAAAACATAATCTCAGGCCTAAAGCCAGGCTCTGACTTTGGCAAGTGGCACTGGGGGCCTTTGGAGACAGCCCTGGATTCAAATCCCGGTTCTGCCACTTCCAAGCCTCTCCCAGCCTCAGTTTCCCCATCTGTGAAATGAGACTTAGTTCTCTCTTTGCAGAGCTGTCGTAACACTCAGAGAGGATTCACAGAAAGTGCTAAGCACAGAGTAGGTGGTTAATAAATGATAATAACCATACTTACAGGTGAGGATTAAATGAGATAATGCATGCCCCCTGTTCAAAATAGTTTCTGAGAAACAAACACTCGATACTCAGTCACTGTTGTTATTATAACTTTTGTTACCATTGGTATTAATGTCATGATGTGGTTTATGGCAAGAACTGTCCGGAATCAGGTTGGAAACCTCCCACTTCCTCTTCCCTCACATTGGATCCATCAGTAATCCCTACTTGTTCTTCTTCCTATTTTAGATCTTTCCATTCTTCACCTTTCCTTTAGGACACCCTTGGCCAAGTACATCCGCTCTGGCCTGTGTCAGTGTTCTCCACCAGGGACACATCTGTGGTTGAACAAGTTGGGTTTATTGCTTCTTGCAGTGAGGGAGAAACAGTGAGTTACCTCACACCATGAGGTAACTGTGAGGTGTCTAAGTAAAAGGGTGTTAGAAAGGATTTTTTTTTTTTTTTGAGTCAGAGTCTTGCTCTGTCACCCAGGTTGGAGTGCAGTGGGGCGATCTCAGCTCACTGCAACCTCTGCCTCCTTGGTTCAGCAATTCTCCGGCCTCAGCCTTCCGAGTAGCTGGGATTACAGGTGTGTGCCACCACACCCAGCTAATTTTTTGTAGTTTTAGTAGAGACAGGGTTTCACCATGTTGACTAGTCTGGTCTCGAACTCTTGAGCTCAGGTGATCCACCCTTTTGGCCTCCCAAAGTGCTGGGATTACAGGTGTGAGCACCTGGCCAGAAAGGATTGATTTTAAGATTTGGGCTTGTGTGTGGTGGTCTTGGGAATGGTGCAAGGAAGTGGGGCCTCATTCTAGTTTAGATACTGTTAAACGGAGAAGGAGTAATGCTGTGATTAGGCATTTGCATACATCTCATTTATGAGGCAGGAGACACAAAGTGAGGTTAAAGCTGTAATATAAATATAAGCAGTCATTTATATTAGCCAGGATATGAGGATGCTTAGTCATTCTGTGGTTTGCACAATGATCTTGTTTGTTTCTGTGTTCAGACATGGTGATGGATTGGTCTTGATTTTTTTTTCTTTCTTTGTTTTTTGTTTTTTTTTGAGACAGGGTCTCACTCTGGTTGCCCAGGCTGGAGTGCAGTGGCGTCATCTCAGCTCACTGTAGCCTCAACCTCCCAGGCTCAGGTGATTCTCCCAGCTCAGCCTCTCAAGTAGCTGGGATTATAGGCGCACGCCCCCACGCCCAGCTAATTTTTTGTATTTTTAGTAGAGATGAGGTTTCCCTGTGTTGCCCAGGCTATTGATTTTTTTCTGATCCCTGACTGTTGCAGTGTGGCCTCATCCAGGTTGGTGCTCTGTGAAATTGTGTGTAGTTGAACTCCGTGGCCTCACTGTTTGTGCCAGGCCAACTCCCAACTGTTAGGGGCTGTTTTGCTCTTTCTTCTGGAAAACTACCCGGCCCCTTGTTGGTTTCCTGGTCTTCTCTCTCACCGCTTCTAGAGTCATTTTCCTTTTTCACCCAGAGGCCACAGTGACATTCTTACCTTGTTTTCATTGAAGAATAACATACATCCAGTGACAGGCCCGAGTCAGTGATTCTCTACATATCTGTACATACATGCGGCTGTCACCTAGAGGAAGATCGTGGGAGCTCCTCCCTGTTGCTCCTTCTGGGGTGATGCCCTCCCAAAAGTAACTTGTGTTCTGATTTCCGGCACCACTGGTTAGTTTTGTCTGTTCTGGAACTTCGTATAAATTGAGTTACACAGTATGTTTTGTTTTGCTTAAGGCTTTCTAAACTCAACACCCAGTTTTTTCTTTTTTAAAAATAAAATGAGATGGGGTCTCACTATGTTGCCCAGGCTGGTCTCAAACCCCTGGGTTCAAGTGATCCTCCCACTTTGGTCTCTCAAAGTGCTGGGTTTGCAGGTGTGAGCCACTGTGCCTGGCCCCAACACAAAGTTTTTGAGATATGTTGCTGCATATATCAGGTGTTGGATCTTTTCCATTGCTGTGTAGTATTCCATTGGCCGAATCAATCACTCTCTTTTGCCATTCACTTCTTTTTCTTTTTCCTTTTTTAAAATCAAATATCCTACTCTCAGATCCACTTACTTTTAATTTTTAAAGAAATTTTTAAATTTTTTTTTTTGAGACAGGGTCTCACTCTGTGGCCCAGGTTGGAGTGCGGTGGCGCGGTCTCAGCTCACTGCAACCTCCACCTCCTGGGCTCAAGTGATTCTCCTGCCTCACCCTCCCGAGTAGCTGGGACAGCAGGTACATGCCACTGCACCTGGCTAATTTTTTTTTTTTCTTTATAGAGATGGGGTTTCGCCATGTTGCCCAGGCTGGTCTCAAACTCCTGATCTCAAGTGATCCACCCCCCTTGGCCTCCCCAAGTGCTGTGATTACAGGCATGAGACACTGCACCCGGCCTCCATTTACTTCTTGATGGCTAGCTGCACTATTTCTCAGGTTGATCATATTAAGAAGCAAATCTATCATGTCTTCCAGCTCATTTAGACCCTCTTAAAGATTCTCTACTATTCTCATAATTAATCCACATCTCTTGTCAGGGCCTCTAATGCCCTGAGGGTCTTGGCCTCTGCCTGACTCTTTCATCTCAGTTCCTGCCCTTCTCCTATGGCCTTCTGAGCTCAGGAGCACTGCTCTCCTTTCCGTGTTTGAATGGTCCATCCTACCTCCCACCTCCAGGTGTTCCCACATGCTGGTCCCTCTGCTTGTAAAGGACTGTGCCCCTCTCTTGACCTGCTCTAGCTGGCTAAATCCTGCATGCCCTTGAGGTTGCATCTCAGATAATCTCAAGGAAGCCCTCACCGACCAGGCCCCACTCCTAGACTCCACATCTCCTTGTATCACTACACTTTTTCCTTCAGTGTCTTAGTCTCTGTGGTAAACAACAATTTGTACGATTATTTGATTAGTATCTGTCTCCCCCATCAGAGGGTGAGCTCTGCCAGGACAGGCACTGGTTCTGTCTTCATCTCCAGCATTACCCAGGCCAAAGCCCAGCACACTGTAGATGCTCATTTAACAGTTCATAAACACTGAATGTCAGTAGCCCCAGCCTCTCTTTAAGCCCCACTACTCCCCCACTCCAAACACACACAGACTTTCTCCCGCGAGCTGTCAGGGAACCTCAGCTCCCACCCTTTCCCTCCTTGGCAACTTCACAGGGCAGGGACCGCTCTCCCTGTGGATGACGCGCCTAGGGGCGGGGCCCCGCCCCACAGCCGACGCTGAGTTGGCCCGGTTGGGCAAGGCTGGGGTTGCCTGGGGCGAGGTTACTCATCTTGGGCTCAGGTAAGAGGGCCCGGGCTGGCAGGCAGCACACCCAGGGGGGACGCCAAGGGAGCAGGACGGAGCCATGGACCCCGCCAGGAAAGCAGGTGCCCAGGCCGTGATCTGGAATGCAGGCTGGCTGCTGCTGCTGCTGCTGCTTTGCAGAGGTGGGTCTGCTGCCCGGAGAGGTGGAAGGGGTAGAATGGGAGCTCCTAGGGAAGAGGCTCCTCTGGCCCCCTACAGAGAAGGCTGTGGGAAGGATCCCCACATAAGCAGAGGGCACTGTAGGCAAAGTTCCCCATCCTGAGCAGAGGAGGCAGTGGGAAGGGTCCTCCACCATGGGCAGTAGGAAGGGTTCCCCACCACGGACAGGGGGAACTGTGGGCAAAATTTCCCATCCTGAAGCTGTGGAAAGAAGTACCCTCCTCCTAGGCCGGGCGCGGTGGCTCATGCCTGTAATCCCAGTACTTTGGGAGGCCAAGGCGGGCGGATCATGAGGTCAAGCGATCGAGACCAGCCTGGTCAACATGTTGAAACCCCGTCTGTACTAAAAATACAAAAATTAGCTGGGCGTGGTGGCGCGCGCCTGTAGTCCCGGCTACTCGGGAGGCTAAGGCAGGAGAATCGCTTGAATTGGGGAGGCGGAGGTTGCAGTGAGCCGAGATTGTGCCACTGCACTCCAGCCTGGTGACATAGCGAGACTCCGTCTCAAACAAACAAACAAACAAAAAGTCCCCTGTCCTGGGCAGAGAAGCTGTGGGCAGAGTTCTCTCATTTGAGCAGAAGGGGGCTGTGGGAAGGGATCCCTCACTGAGCACAGTCTAGCACAGTCTACTGTGGGAGAAGTTCTCTCATTCTGAGCAGAAAACTATGAGGAGGTATCTCTCCTACCCCGGGATGAGGGGCTCCATGGCGGGGTTCGCCTACAGTGGGCATACGGGGCTGTGGGAAAGACACGCCCACGGTTGGCATAGTGGGTGTGAAGGAAAAGGGTCCAGTGATTCCCGTGCTTCCAGATTTGTAGAAAGCTTTTCCCTACTCCTGCCCTGGAAAAGTGTGTGCAATAGGACTGTCTCATCCCGGGACAGAAGGCCATGGGAAGGACTATTTCTTGGGGGAGGACGATTTAGCAAGGAGGGCTCAGGTCTACTCGCCTCCGCTCCCCCAGGAGCGCAGGCCCTGGAGTGCTACAGCTGCGTGCAAAAAGCAGATGACGGATGCTCCCCACACAAGATGAAGACGGTGAAGTGCGCGCCGGGCGTGGACGTCTGCACCGAGGCAGTCGGGGCGGTGGAGACCAGTGAGTGGGGACCCCCGGGCCACGCACACCAATGGAGGATCCTCCGGCCCAGCCCAGCCTCCTTATAATCGTTTCTGGATTGGCCACGCCCCTTTAACGCGGCCCCACCCCTCCCTTTCAGCCTATCCGGGACCCTACAACACAACTTCGCCCCTCCTCCCAGGCCAGGGCTTCTCTATTAATGATTACAAGGGCGAGGAGCAGAGAATTGAGAACTGGGTGGGGCGGACTGGGAGAGCTCAGGTTTGGAACAAGGTCACGTCCTATGCACCTTTTCTGCTCCACCACTGAGACCTCCCCATCCCTGTCAACCGGGATGTCTCCTCAGACTCACCTCTTTAAGGTTCAGCCCCCGTTCCATGACCCCGCTCCTGCCTCCTTCGGTCGTTCTTTCCGCTCTGAGCGGCTCTTTGGGGGCGCCAATCTGCCAATTCCGGCCTGTCAGTCCTCTGGTGTTGGCCTATTTGAGGCCTCGCCCCTCCCAGACCTTACCCACCTCTGGGCTACGCTCCATCTGAGACCACGCCCACAGCTAATCCCGCCCTTGTCCCTTTGCCCAGTCCACGGACAATTCTCGATGGCAGTGCGGGGTTGCGGTTCGGGACTCCCTGGCAAGAATGACCGCGGCCTGGATCTTCACGGGCTTCTGGCGTTCATCCAGCTGCAGCAATGCGCTCAGGACCGCTGCAATGCCAAGCTCAACCTCACCTCGCGGGCGCTCGACCCGGCAGGTCCGTGGGGGCGGGGCCGTAGCTGTGGGGGCGGAGCTACATTCGGGCCCGCCAAGATGGAGGCGGAGCCGGGAGTACTCGGCCTGGGCTGGGTGTGGGGGCATACTCTAGGGCGGGGCCAAGAGGCAGCAGGCGGGACTTTCTGGCTGTAGGCACCAGAAAGTTGCGTGCTGGGGCGGGGCTATTAGTAGGCGGGGTTATTGACAGTGCGGGGGGGGGGTCACGCCTTAGGGGCGGGGCTAGAAGACGCGCTGCGGTTCCCGAACCCTTTCGACGCCTTTTCTTCCCCTGGGCCCCCCTCACAGGTAATGAGAGTGCATACCCGCCCAACGGCGTGGAGTGCTACAGCTGTGTGGGCCTGAGCCGCGAGGCGTGCCAGGGTACATCGCCGCCGGTCGTCAGCTGCTACAACGCCAGCGATCATGTCTACAATGGCTGCTTCGACGGCAACGTCACCTTGACGGCAGGTGAGGGAGCCCTGGAGCTCGGGACCTACAGGAGTTGTGGTAGCAGTTCTGAAGCACCCTGGGCGGTAGGGAGCCCTTTGCCCAAAGCGTTTCCTTCACCTGCGATGCATTCTGGGAACCGAGGGGCCTAAATGCTTGTATCGTAGGGCATCATGGAAAATGCAGTCCCTTCCCCCAACGTATTAATAGTGTGGGGACAGTGATGCTTTGTCCAAGAGTGTTTTGAAGGGAAATACATTTCCATGGAGGGCTGCCAGGTACTTAAGAGGTATTTAAGCCTCCAAGCTTCTGCCCAGGCACTGCGGACAATCTCTAGTTTCTTAGCCCTTAAAACTCAAGGGGTCCCCGCCTGTCCCAGAGTATTGAGAGATGTAACCATGGAAAATGAAGTTCTTCAAACCCCATTCCCTTGCCAGCTATGCTTAAAAAGATCTTTTTAATTTTATTATTACTAATTTTTTTTAAAGACAGGGTCTTGCTCTATTGCCTAGACTGGAGTGCAGTGGCGCAATCATAGCTCATTGCAGTGGCGCAGTCATAGCTCACTGCAGCCTCTACCTCTTGGGCTCAAGCAGTCCTCCTGCCTCAGCCTCCCAAGTAGCTGGGACTACAGGGGCACACCGCCACGACTGGTTACTTTTATTTTTGGTAACAGTGGGGTCTGTCCATGTTGCCCAGGCTGGTGTTGAACTCCTGGGCTAAGCGATCCCCCTGCCTACGTCTCCCAGAGTGCTGGGATTACAGGCGTGAACCACTGAGCCTGGGGGGAGAATGTAGCTCTGACTCTAAGACTAAATTCTGTTGGGGAAGTAAAAGCTGGGGTGAAGGCTAGGGGGATAATGGCCAGAGGGTTGTAAAGGAAGTTTCTTCTGCCCTGTGGTCTTGTGAGAGGTCTTGTATCTCAGTCTAAACCTTTGTTTGAAGCCCTGTTTTTATTTCAGCCTACACACATTTCCATTCAAAGCACAATGGAAAATGTTAATCCACCATGTGCCAAAGACAGTGAGTCTGTCTCTCATAGTAGCACCTGAGTTTAGATTTTGGGATTAATGGATGCAGAGACCTTCTGTCTCATTTTGGGGGGTTCTCTGTTTTTTTTTTTTTTTTTTCAAGACAGAGTCTCACTCTGTTGCCCAGTGATCCCCCTGCCTCTGCTTCCCAGAGTGCTGGGACTACAGGCGTGAGCCACCACACCCAGTGGGGTTCTCTGTTCTTGTCTGATGCCTCTAAGTTTCATTCTGGCTGTGTCAACCTCTTTCCCTCCAGCCACTGATCTATCTGTGTCTCCTTCCTGTAGCTAATGTGACTGTGTCCTTGCCCGTCCGGGGCTGTGTCCAGGATGAATTCTGCACTCGGGATGGAGTAACAGGCCCAGGGTTCACGCTCAGTGGCTCCTGCTGCCAGGGGTCCCGCTGTAACTCTGACCTCCGCAACAAGACCTACTTCTCCCCTCGAATCCCACCCCTTGTCCGGCTGCCCCCTCCAGAGCCCACGACTGTGGCCTCAACCATATCTGTGGCCTCAACCACGTCTGTCACCACCTCTACCTCGGCCCCAGTGAGACCCACATCCACCACCAAACCCATGCCAGCCCCAACCAGTCAGACTTCGAGACAGGGAGCAGAACACGAGGCCTCCCAGGATGAGGAGCCCAGGTTGACTGGAGGTGCCGCTGGCCACCAGGACCGCAGCAATTCGGGGCAGTATCCTGCAAAAGGGGGGCCCCAGCAGCCCCATAATAGAGGCGGTGTGGCTCCCACGGCTGGATTGGCAGCCCTTCTGTTGGCCATGGCTGCTGGTGTCCTGCTGTGAGGTTCTCCACCTGGAAATTTCCCTCTCACATACTTCTCTGGCCCTAGGTACTCCCTCTTCCCATCACTTCCTGTTCCCACCACTGGACTGGGCTGGCCCAGGCCCTGTTTTTCCAACATTCCCCAGTATCCCCAGCTTCTGCTGCGCTGGTTTGCGGCTTCGGGAAATAAAATACTGTTGTATATATCCTGCCAGGGGTGTTCTAGCTTTTTGAGGACAGTACCTGTATTCTTCTCATCCTTGTCTCTCCGCTTGTCCTCTTGTGATGTTAGGACAGAGTGAGAGAAGTCTGCTGTCACAGGGAAGGTGAGAGAGAGGATGCTAAGCTTCCTACTCACTTTCTCCCAGCCAGCCTGGACTTTAGAGTGTGGGGTGGGTGGGACAATGGCTCCCCACTCTAAGCACTGCCTCCCGTACTCCCCACATCTTTGGGGAATCAGTTCCCCATCTGTCTTCCTTACTGGACTGTGAGCTCCTCGAGGGCAGGGACCGTGCCTTATGCCTGTGTGTGAGCAGTTTCTGGCACACAGATGCCTCAATAAAGATTTAATGACTTTGTATAGTGCTTTAAAGGAGTCGCTTCCACCTTGTTTCTCGCAAGGACCGCTCTAGCTGAGCTAGGGTGGGCATCATAAAGCCTTTAACAGGAGAGAGATTGGATATAGAGCCACAGCCCTGGGGGAAGTCGCGGTTGAACTTTCATCTCCTGGGGTCTAGCCCGTATTTGGGTGTTCCCACTGGTGAGGGGGAAACTGGGCGAAACCATTAGGCGGCATGGAGGGGTGAATGGGGCTTTTAGCAATGCCAGGGAACAGACAGCTTTGTCTAATGAGTTTGTGTACCCTCCCTAGGCTCCACCCACCTTATCATCCAGCCAACCGTCTGCATTTTTTTAGAGATGGGGTCTCTGTCACCCAAACTGGACTTCAGTGGCCCAATCATAGCTCACTGCAACTTCCAACTCCTGCCTCAGGCTCCCAAGTAGCTGGGACTACAGGCTCAGCCCATCACACTTGGCTAATTTTATTTTTTGTAGAGATGAAGTCTTGATATGATGCCCTGTCCTCCTGCCTTGGCCTCCCAAAGTGTTGGAATTACAGGCAGGAGCCACTGCACCCAGCTTCATCTGGTTTACTAAGAGTCATTAAGGCTGGGCGCAGTGGTTCATGCCTGTAATCTCAGCACTTTGGGAGGCTGAGGCAGCCAGATCACCTGAGGTCCGGAGTTCGAGACCAGCCTGACCAACATGGAGAAACCCCGTCTCTACTAAAAATACAAACTTAGCTGGGCATGGTGGCACATGCCTGTAATCCCAGCAACTTGGGAGGCTGAGGCGGGAGAATCACTTGAACCCAGGAGGTGGAGGTTGTGGTGAGCCGAGATTACGTCACTGCACTCCAGCCTGGGCAAAAAGAGTGAAACTCCGTCTCAAAAAAAAAAAAAAAAAGAGAGAAAAAAGTAATTAACTGGGCTCACCTACTGTATCCCATTTGTAGGGCCCGAGGGTGCTGCTGTTGGTCTTTGTTTGGTGCTGGGGACTTGGGATTGAGCCCCACCTCCATCTCCTTCCCATCAGGTGAAGGCCTGGCCCTAGAGGCACTGGAGGGGAAAAGCCTGGCTTGAGAATGAGAGAGTTCCTGGTAGGCTTTGCGACTGCTTGATGGGAGGAGGATCAGATGTGGGGAATAGTGAGATCATAACAGTATATTGCCAATATTACTATTGATAGCCAATATTACTATTAATAATGGGGAGTAGTGTGAGGTAACAACAAAACAATAGCAAATAATGAGTATAGCAACAAAATAGAACATCAATAAGAGTATGAGCTCTTATTCTGAAACACATACATTGTAATACATGTATAGAGGGAAACGTCAGTGATGGTAAATGTAGTGTTGGGAGTATTAGTATTTTTTTTTTTTTTTTTGAAATGGAGTTTCGCTCTTGATGCCCAGGCTGGAGTGCCATGGCACAATCTCGGCTCACCACAACCTCCGCCTCCCAGGTTCAAGCCATTCTCCTGCCTCAGGCTCCCGAGTAGCTGGGATTACAAGCACGCGCCACCACGCCTGGCTAATTTTGTATTTTTAGTAGAGATGGGGTTTCTCCATGGGGTCAGGCTGGTCTCAAACTCCTGACCTCAGGTGATCCACCCACCTCGACCTCCCAAAGTGCTGGGATTACAAGTGTGAGTCACCATGCCTGGCAGTGATTTTTAAATTTTAATTTAACTTTTATTTGTATTGTAGAGATTGATGTCTCACTATGTTACCCAGGCTGGTCTCGAACTCCTGGGCTCAGATGATCCTTCTGCCTCTGCCTCGCAGGTGCTGGGATTACAGATGTGAGGTCCCGTGCCAGGCTGTGTTAGTGATTAAAGACAGCCTTACTAGATGCCCAGTCTACGCTATCAGTGTGCAGCCATCATCTCATTGCCTTTTCCACATAGTTTCAGATGGGATGATTGGGGAAACTGAAGCTCAGAATGGTGAAGTAATTAACCCACAGCAAATAATACATTTATTATGTGCCAAGTACTTGTTTTAAGCGCTGTACTTGGATGAATATATTTAATCTACAAAACCATCCTGTGAAGTAAGTGTTAATCATCTGCATTTTACAAGATGGGTAAATCAGGGTTAGAGAGGTTGAGAAAGTTGCCCCAGGTCACCCAGCTATTAAGCGGTAGAGCTCAGCTTCCAACGCGGGCTGGTCAGCTTTATAGAGTGCACCAACACTGCCACGACATTTCCCTTAGCTTGACTAAACTTTAGACAGGCTTCCTCCTGCCTCTAGGCCCTTAGAATCCAGAAGCTCTAACCACAGAGGCCCCTTACCTCCCTTTTCTTAGAGCATTTACTTAAGAAAACCTGTCATTGTAGGTTATTTCTTTGTCCATTTGAGATGGATATAAATCTCTTTAAAAGTCTTGGCCAGGCGCTTATAATTCCAGCACTTTGGGAAGCTGAGGTGGGTGGATCACGAGGTCAGGAGTTCAAGACCAGCCGGACCAATATGGTGAAACCCTGTCTGTACTAAAAATACAAAAATTAGCCAGGTGTGGTGGCAAGTGCCTGTAATCCCAGCTACTCAGGAGGCTGAGGCAGCAGAATCGCTTGAACCTGGGAGGCGGAGGTTGCAGCGAGCCGAGATCGCACCATCGCACTCCAGCCTGGGTGACAAAACGAGACTCAGTCTCAAAAAATAAAATAAAAAGTCTCTTGCCAATTTATAGCCCAGGAAATGGGCTCTCACTATGTTGCCCAGGCTGGTCTTGAACTCCTGGGGTCAAGCGATCTTCCTGCCTTAGCCTCTCAAAATGCTGGGATTATAGGTGTGAGTGACCAGGACCCAGGGAACTATCTCTTTGAAATGTGAACATAAAAGGAGATACTACTCCTGTCTCCCCGAGGAAGGTGAGAGCTTAACTTTGGTAGATGACTCAGCTCTCAGTTGTAAAAGTACCTCCTGTCATGAAGACAGAAGAAAGCTGCCTTCTTCTCTGGATAAAGCCGATTAAAAACTCGAATGACCAACAATCTTCCATTCATCCCAGCTCTTAAAATCTCTACCACTCGGCTGGGCACGATGGCTCATGCCTGTAATCCCAGCACTTTGGAAGGCTGAGGTGGGTGGATGCCTTGAGTACGGGAATTCGAGACCATCCTGGGCAACCTCGTCTCTACGAAAAATACACTAAAAATTAGCTGGGCGTGGTGGTGCGTGCCTGTAGTCCCAGCTACTTGCGGGTGCTGAGGTGGGAGGATCGCTTTAGCCCTGGAGTCCGAGGTTGCAGTGAACCACGATGGTGTCACTGCACTCCAGCCTGGGTGACAGAGCGAGACTCTGTCTCAAAAAAAAAAAAAAAAAAAAGAAAATCTTCTAATTTTCTTTTTTTTTTTTTTTTTTTGAGACGGAGTCTTCCTCTGTTACCCAGGCTGGAGTAGAGTGGCGTGATTTTGGTTCACTGCAACTTCTGCCTCCTGGGTTTAAGCAATTCTCCTGCCTCAGCCTCTCGAGTAGCTGGGACTACAGGTGCACACCACCACGCCCAGCTAATTTTTGTATTTTTAGTAGAGATGGGGATTCGCTATGTTGGCTGGGCTGGTAATCTATTTACTTAGTGGATCCATCCCCCGGAAAGTAACCAATCTTTGGCAGCTGTCACTGTCCACCCTTCCCATCTTCTTGGGAGGATGACCTCCTTACCTGTCTTGGCCTCTGAAACCCATTATGGGCCCTAAGACTCCCGCTCCCCCACCGCAACCCCTCCAATCTCCTTCCAGACAGCTACTTGCTTCTGTTGAGGAAGAGAAGAGAAATGAAGAGCTTAATGTGTTTAAAATATAATCAATTATTGTTTTGCTTATCTAGTTTCTACTTCTAAGCACCTAGCTCTGCTTTCTGTTAAAACTGCCAGATTCTGGCCAGGTGTGGTGGCTCATATTCATAATCCCAGTACTTTGTGAGGCCGAGGTGGGTGGATCTCTTGAGGTCAGGAGTTCGAGACCTGCCTGGCTAAGATGGCGAAACCCCGTCTCTGCTAAAAATACACCAAAATTGGCTGGGTGTGGTGGCTCACGCCTGTAATCCCAGCACTTTGGGAGGCTGAGGCCGAGGTGGGCAGATCACCTGAGGTCAGGAGTTTGAGACCAGTCTGGCCAATATGGCGAAACCCCGTCTCTACTAAAAATACAAAAATTAGCCGGGCATGGTGGCATACTTCTGTAGTCCCAGTTACTCGGGAGGCTGAGGCAGAAGAATCGCTTGAATCTGGGAGGCGGAGGTTGCAGTGAGCCGAGATCATGCCACTACACTCCAACCTAGGTGACAGAGTGAGACTCCAACTCAAAAAAAAAAAAAAAAAATTCAGCCAGGCTTGGTGGCGCGCACCTGCAATCCCAGCTACTTGGGAGGCTGAGGCAGGAGAATCGCTTGAACCCGGGAGGCGGAGGCTGCAGTGAGCTGTGATTGTGCCACTGCACTCCAGCCTGGATGATAGAGTGAAACTCTCTCTCTCTCTCTCTCTCTCTCTCACACACACACACACACACACACACACACAGAGTCAGATTCTGTATAACTTATTAGGCTGGACGTGGCTTTAAAGTGTTTTTAATGACAGAGCTCACCAAAACAGAAGTGACAGAAAGAAGAAAAAGGAGGAGGAGAAAGAAAGGGAAGAGAGAGTGAGAGGATTTAGCCATATGAAAAGTCACAGAGGGGGAAAGTTACAAAATCTCTTTCCTGTATTTTTTCCAAGGTTTGATGTCTGAGGTATATGTGTGAGAAATTGATTTCAGCCTCAGGTAGGGCTTGCTGGGGGACAAGGCAGGTGTGACAAGGGGCAGGGTGGATCTGCCTGAACTGGCCTTGCTGGTTTCTCTTCTTCCTGGGTTTGTGTTTTTAACGAAGGGCTTGTTTAATTTTAATTACATAAGCAAGACATGACTATCTTCTTGCTGTCAAACATTAAAAAAAATACAGAGACAGCGAGAGAGAGAGAGAGAGAGAGAGCTCAAAAAGCCCTTTTGAGAAATGGTTGGTCAATCAGTTG